TTGTTGCAATTCAATTACTCGTATGCCCAGGAGAATTCACATGCCCGACGGAAATCGGCACTGTTGCAACTCAACTGCTCGTCTGCCCAGGAGAATTCACATGCCCGACGGAAATCAGCTCTCAAGCAGCGCAGTAAATCTGCCTGTGGCGCCAAGCAATCATGTCGGGCATGTGGATTCTCCTGGGCATACGAGCAGTTGAGTTGTAATAGTACCGATTTCCGTCGGGCATGTGAATTCTCCTGGGCATACGAGCAATTGAATTGCAGCAGTGCCGATGTCCGTGGGGCATGAGAATTCTCTTGGGCATACGAGCACTTGAGTTACAATAGTACCGATTTCCGTCGGGCATGTGAATTCTCCTGGGCATACGAGCATTTGAGTTGCAATAGTACCGATTTCCGTCGGGCATGTGAATTCTCCTGGGCATACGAGCAATTGAATTGCAGCATTGCCGATTTCCGTGGGGCATGAGAATTCTCTTGGGCATACGAGCACTTGAGTTACAATAGTACCCATTTCCGTCGGGCATGTGAATTCTCCTGGGCATACGAGCAATTGGGTTGCAATACGAAGACCATGGTATGATAGAATTGATCATCAAATTAGTCGGGTCTTTTTATGTTCCGCCTTACTTTCAAGGTCTGGAAAACTAATGCGGGCGTGGGGACCACGTGTCCTGTTGTGGACATGAGGCGAATCAATGAAAATCGAGGCTGCGCTAGGTCGAACCAGGTCATATTATTGTGACGACGCCTTACGAAAACTTACACCCTCATAGTCACAAAAGCACAACAGCTCGAAGTGGAACAGAATGATCCTACTAGCTCATGCTTTCCGTATAAGATACCTTCGCGCCTCCTCGAAGAAATATCAGTGGTGCGCAATGATCCTTGGGAAAAGCCGCCGAAGGCCTTCTGCGCAAGGCGAACTTGGCTGTTGTCCATGTCGAACTGTCCGGCAGATACATCCCTTTGGGAGAGAGATGCATGTCTCAGGCTTGTGTTGTGTTGCTCCTAGGTAGGACGTCGGTCTGCGATGCTGATAGGTCAAGTCATGCCGGCGCACCGAAGTAAGGCATCAGCAGCGAGATTTCCATGCCAGCCTACGAGCGAGCAAGGATCTTGCCGTACCCAGGTGAAACGTGCAGTTTGAATGTAAAGCTGGGCAATTCGCGGTCACCTTCGGGCATCTTCTATCAAGGTTCTTGCATGCCCTGGCACGACCTCTTCGGCGCATCTCCTGCGCATACGGATCGCCCAGTGTTTGGAAAAGTCGCTCTCCGACGCTCCGAGCTTGCCGGTGCTGTGCAAGAATAAGTGTGCATGGGTTGCGCGAATTAGTGTGCAAACAACACACGCCTCCTCATGCCACGATTGGGGGCTGAGGTGCTCAAGAGGTTGTCATCAACACCTAGGGTTGCCTGAAAATGCCCCGGTGGTCCCGGGACGAGCTGAAAGCTTCCAAGGATTGTTTTCACAGCCCGCCCGGCCGAGAGGGATCAGGCACCCCTCAAAAAGTGTAGCGCTTGGCGCTGACAAGAACCTCAATGCCTAAGAGCCTATAGGTGAGAGGCTGCCCCCTTGAAGAACCTGGGAGTCAGAGGGCTCGGAAAGCCCAATCACGTCGAGCCGGCTAAGGAGGCAGCCTCTCAGTCTTTGGGATTCCGGAGGCTTAGCAACTTTCTCTGCAAATGACGCCACCGCGCTTGCAAGTTGGACTCCGAGCCCGTACGAAGACCATCATGGGATGAGCTTCGTGTAGTTTCATAGCTTCGACACCACGCACATCTACAAGTGCTGATGGGATCGCTCCTGACACTTCTCGGCAGGGTCCAGTCCCCTGGGCATTGGAGGCCCTGCGGAAACTCCTATGCAGTCTGTACACTTGCAGAGAGTCACATGCCATCCTGTTTCTGCAGACGGTCAGCTGGCAGAGGCTGAAGATCGGAGCAAGTTCGTGTGCACAAAGCGCCGTGGCTTGGCTGCCGGGGACTGTGAGCTCTCGATGACGGTCTGCCCTAAGGTGAACATGCACATGGATGTGCAAGTTGTAAGCGCATGTGGTATAAGCCAATATGGCCTAGCTGACCGGCCATCAGGCATACCCAAAAATTAACAAAATCTGTACTGACTTGCAAAGCAGTTCAGCCAATGCTAAACGCCTCAGGGCCAAGTGGCAAGTGCAGGCTGAATCTAACCGTGCGCAGATCACAGCCGTACAGACAACAGACCTTTTAGGAATCCCTCAGGCACCGTCGCACGAGTGCCCGGCATGAGACAACCACACCATTCACGCCAATGGGGGCCTTTCAGCACCTTCAGAAGTATTCTTTGGAGCTCTCAAGCAACTGCGATCTCAATCTCTGCTCGAATGTGCAGGAATTTTGCCTAGGTCCCGCCAGGTAGACCCGAAGGGAGGGTCTGGCCAAGTTCCTGGCAGATCTTTCCGGGCATGAGCACTCAATCCTTTCTCCACAGAACTCTCTTAGCTCTGTCTGTCGCTCTCATAGCCATGCCGGCCTCCGAGGCTCGTGATGGTCGCGGGACGGGGTCGTTCCGGACCTGTTGCAACGTCTATACATGGTGATGCCGACAGATTATAGAGATCTTTTCTGCACTCTTGTGGGATCGCAACGGCTCCAAAGTGCCTAGAGTCCTAGAGTGCTTCTTGACCACCGTCGCTTTGTCCAGCTTGGCACAGACCCTTCAAGTCACTGGCCGGTTGGCACCGTCGCTGGAGCCGTTAGCAGGCGCCGGTGGGACCCCACCTTGACAAGCCCTGACATGTAACATTACCAAGGATCACACGCGGGGGCAAACGACTGCATTTCCATCTGCTTCACATTGCGCGAGGTATGACAATTTATACCCATGCGCATATGAGAGTACCAGAGACTTCGTTTCACCTCACAACCATCCCACCTGTGGCCTCGAAAGCGTTAGCCTATTACTGCAGGGATCACGCCTAGACACCAAAATGGACGACCTTGGGGTGGAGTTCTTTTCACGGAAATCAAAAGTGTCAACCGTGCCTTCACAGTTGTCAGTCACACCCTATACAACGACACCGCAGCCAATCGGAATCGCTGTGGCCGTGACTCTTGGACAATCACAGTTACAACAGCTTGGCCTGCTCACCCTCGGCGCGACTTCCTACACACTAAAGCATCCACCGACAGATGGGCGGCTGCGGCGTGTTTAGGTTTCGATGCTGCGGTGCGCACCATGGATGGAGCGAGGGTCGCAGGTCGCTCGTCACAAAAACAAGGAAGCATCAAACGAACGAAAAGGCCAAGGCAAGCCTATCTCCAGATGAAAGAGCCAAAACCACCGCAGCTGCTCAGGATAAACGAACAGACACCCGAATTCTTCGGACAGAAGGCTTGATTCTGCATCAACGGCATGCATCTGACCGATGCGCTCACGAATGCACGCAAGCACGGCGAGCTTGAAACGCCCCAGATCACCCCAGCTTCTTCTGATGCCCACGAGGCAATAGGTCTTGCACTGCCAAACTCGCACTGCAAAGGGGGCTACTTGTAGGGGTATGTGTGCTGCAAGTCTTTGAGACAGGGCTGGGCGGGGATTGTGTAAGGCTGCGCTCTCAGATGTTGACGAGACTAGTCACATGATTGCACTATTCACTCACTCCACAACCTCACACAATGCCCATTGCAAAGGCTAAGAAGCCTTCGTGTCCCCTCACCCACAAGCTCTGCTAGATTCTGCTGAGATGCCTCGGACGAGCCACTGTCCTTAGATGCAGCATAAGTACATCTAACAGCCCCTCCATCCGCTCACCCAGTTTATGCAGAGGGCAGGTCTTGCCATGCTTTGGCGACCTTGCTCTCGCTGCAAGCACCCTCACCCTGAGCATTGTGAAGCTGCTCTGGTCCCAGGGTCGTTGGCTTCCTCGGACGTGTCGCCGGCTGTAACCGTAGAGGACGTGTCCGACAAGCCGAGCCTCCAAAGGGCGAGGACGAGTTTGTTGCGACTGCCGAAGAGCATCAAACTTGCTGGGGCTGGGGTTCAGTCGGCTGCACGATGCATGCGATGGCCTGTTCGCATCCTCCAGCCACGTCGTCCTGGAATGGACTCATGGGCAAGCAGAGGTGAGCTGAGCTTTTGCTTTACGATCCCAAGCAAGCCTGGCAAGCCCCCCACAGCGAAAAGGCGGGCGACTGGAGATCTGAGATCGCAGCTCGCTCTCCAAGTACTTCGGGTCTCCAGCAACCGAGTTAAGAAGCCACCTCGGAGCAATGGTACCGAAGCTGCAGACATTCCACAGCAGACACTGTTGACACTCTCCTCAGGTCCAGGCTCGTACATAAGCGCTACATACTCGTCAGAACGACTCATACTAACATACTGCTGCCTGGATGAATCGGCTTCGACTGGTCTGCGCAGAACCCGTGGCCCAGACCACGTGTGTATTCTCAGGTTGCAGAAGACCTCTCCGTGGCAACGATGAGCAGATGTGCAGACTTCAAACTCCGCCGCATGTCATCATCAGCAGCTACATGGTCACAGCCACAATTCAACATACTGCTCCAACACACGACAACCACAGATGGCTGCGGGCTGCCGTTGTAAGTGCACCTTGTCCGTGCTCGCGAGGAACAGGGAAGTCATCAGGTTTGCGACAAGCACGATGTAGGCCTGACACAAGTGCTGCTCTTTCGGACCAGCTGGCTGGTTGAGCATCTTCAGGTGCACCACCACGTCTCATTCGATAGCAGTGTCTCGATACCACTGCAACCCAGTCCCTCCATCCGGCCTGTAAGGTATGCAACTGATGCGAGAAGAAGAACACCTTGGCAGAAATGGAACCATGGCGCACACAGCTCGTCCTCACGGCAGACGTTTGTTTATGAGAGGCCCTTCTCCATCAAACATGCTGCCCACGTGCTATAAAGTGTTGTCTTTGCAGGCCGGAGCAGCCTTGAGATTCCTTCAAAACTTACCCAGCGGCCCTTGCCAGCTTCGCCCAAGACCCCGTGCACTTACACCCCATCCCAAGCTGCGGCCAATGAGCATGGGCGAGCCGAATGCACCGATGGAGCCTGACGATCGATCGTGGAAGCTCTTGTCGCGGAAGGGTTTCGGTATGACGGTTGGGATTCGGGGCTTGCTTCAGGCAGAATTAGCCCAGAAACGCCGTAATACTGTAGCAGGCTAGCACACAGCATGAAATGAAAGTGGGGCATTCCTTCCGGTCACACATCCTACCGCAATCCCTCGACTCCACGACTCAGATGGGCCCCACCTTCGATTGCTGGATTCACGTGGGATGCGTCGCTTCATGTGGAGGCATAAGCAGCCGTCCTGAGAGATCCCACACTGCACAAGCAGTCCGAGGTACGTTCGCTTTCCACGACAGCTCTGACACTAGAATCTCAAAGCGGTGGGTTTCAGACATGTTGCCTCACGAGCTCCTCCCTCCTGCAACTTTTCCAACAACGACGATCGTGGGAGTCATGGCTACAGACTTACCGGCCCTAGACCGACTCCGTGATCATCTACCTTTTCCCTCTTGCCCGGGTGCCTCCGACACTGCTGCCACCGCTAGGCGAAAGACCGTGAGGACCAGGTGATGCAGGAAACCTGCTCCGCTCAAGTAGCGGAGAATCGGCCGACACTTCAGGGTCGGAACATGGTAGACAAGGGCCAATGGAGGCAACATGTCTCACGTCTTGCGACAGCCCCAACAGCCGCTGCAATACAATCGCCCTGAAGAGACGTCACATCTGTGAACATGTGGTCACCAAACATCCCTCCTGCAATTTCGCCCTAGCAGGTCCATGTTTCCCCCAGCCATGCGGGCCTAAGTACTCCACGAAAACGAGAAACGAAATGAAGAACTCCGGAAGACGCACCTCGTCAAGCACAGGGGAAGCAGCACATGAAATCTTCGTTGAAGAGTCTGGACAGCCACTGCAACGACACAACATCTAGCCACGCCACTTGGAACATTTGACGAAAGCTATCCACTCCAGCAGACTTTTGAGCCCTCATGGTTGAGATTGAGAGTGGAGGGGCCCGTGCCAGGATCTGACAATTCCAGGAACTGAGCGCGTCACCCAAAGCGAGGGTGTCGTGGCTTGCTCACCAATCACGCCGATGACATAAAGGCGGCCCACAAGAAAGACCTTGCGGAAAAGGGCGCCTGTATGCCTCGCTCTGACCATGCGGGGCCATGCTTTGGGTGTAAACCGGCGAAGATGCAAAATTTAAGGTGGTGGAACTGAAGCAAGATCTGCTTGACAGACCCCTCCAGAATTTACAGACGACAGTAGCCCCTTGGAAGCCAAGTGCTGGACTGCGAGCCAAACCAGCCAAGACGACCTCGAATCCGAGGCTTCAGAGCTCGCAGGCTCGTGCCATCACTCAGTCGAAATCGGCTTTAAACAACCTGGCTAAGAGTTTAAGATTTAAGGGAACACTCGATCACAGGACATGGTGCTGGCGCACATCAAACCTGAGTTCACAGGCATGAGAAGGATGTTGTTCAGATTGAAGTAGAAGAAGCCGAAGACCAGCCTTGCTGCCAAAAGCTTGTACGGCCACGACAAGGTCTTCTTGGGCTGTGTTATGCTAGCAGCATGTTCGCTGCAACAGCTAAAGATCTGTAGCCTTGGAGGAGCCTCATGGCACTTGGTCGTGGCAGGCAGAGGGAGATGTCAATGTATCTCCCGCTGCCGTTTCACAGCAGACTGCAAATGAACATTGTCATCCGGGCACTGGATCTGAACACTCCGGATTGAAGTCAGCTCAGGAAGCACCTTGCGGTGTGGCTTAGCCTCAACAGCCTTTGCCCCATCAGCAAGCTGTCCTCCCTGAAAGAAGCTCTGTAAGGTCGTCGCAACCACTGGAAACAGAGAAGAACCGAGTAGACCTGAGTTGGCGGCGCTGATATCGAAAGAAAAAGGCTTGCGCCGTGCAGGCAGGTACAAGCAAAGAATACAGCAGGATAGCCACATGACCGCTGATAATGTCCTCCGAGCGACCCAGAGGAAGTCCATGATCTCCGAAGGGAGGGCCACCCTAAGAAGGGACCGTAAAGTATTCAGGCTTATGGGCAGGGCCAAGCATAGAAAAATGGTTGCAGAGGTCCTGTGTTTCAAATCGGTCTGCATCCCGAAAACAGGCTGCCAGCACATGCAAAAGCGACTGGCCGCGGCGAGAGAAATAGTGATGGCAATAGCAAGCGCGCAAGAAACTTCAGACTGGCCGACAGAAGCGCAACAGTTTTGTCTTACGATCGATACCATCGGGAATCTACAAACAAAACTCACCATAAGAGTCCGGCGCGAGCGCGGCACAGAACACAAACCTGCGTTCAGGTCGGCAAGAAGCTAGTGAACTAGTGAGTCGGTCCTGTTGTGGACCCGGGGTGAGCGGTTTGGGAAGGCATGTTGCAGCTTTCAAACACACAACTGGAATTGATAAGAACAGCCATCGTGGGATGTCACGAGTGGCCTGCCGACGAGCTTTGCAAGAAGCACCGAGCACGGCCTCAGCGGTGAAGGTTGGGCATCATCTGGATGGACATGCATCCAATCGCCGAAGCTTTGAACATCTGGTGGCATGCTTGCTGCAAGATCCCCTCAACCCTAAACCCTAGACCCAAACCCCAAAACCCCAAACTCTAAACCCAGCTGAGGCAGAGGCACATCAGTCCAGTAGAGAATGGCGTCCGTTAAGCCGCATTCGAAGAGAGTGCGAGGCATCTTGTTCCTTGGAAAGGGTTTAGGGTTTAGGGTGGGTTTAGTTCCTTGGAACTTCGACGGTACTCGATTTCATATAGGGTCCCGAACTATGAGACTGGGGGATATGATTGAAAAGCTATAATATGGGAGTTTCCAAATAGGGGACCGAATATAGCACCCTAAAGAGTAGGATCCTTATGAAATGGACCCCAAAATCAGGCACCCCTAGTTTTCGGAAACTTCCATATTACAAGACCTTTGAAGAGCTTTTTCTGTGCTTTGCAAGTGGCTTCCGGCCACGATCCACGAGGTCGTCGAGCTCGGCCTCCGAGATGCCAGCACGACCTCGACTTTTTGGGCCTTTTTCCCCAAAAGTACCTGAGGTATTGTGTATATGATATATATTTTGTTATATACTCGATTAGGGCTCGAATGGCCGCAGCAGCGCGGAACTATCGTTAGCCCCAGTGCCCATGGAGGGCACGCCTTCATCTGGTGCCGCGCTTGCGAGGCGGCATGCAGATCTTTGTCAAGACCCTGACAGACAAGACGATCACGTTGGACGTTGAGGCCAGTAGCACGTTCGACAATGTCAAGGCTACGTTCCAGGATAAGGAAGGTGTCCCGCCCGACCAGCAGTGCCTGATCCTTGCTGGCAAGCATTCGGAGTTAGAGGATGGCCGTACTCTCCCGGGTTACAACATCCAGAATGAATCGACCCTCCGCTTCGCGGTGCGTTTGCGAGGCGGCATGCAGATTTTTGTCGAGACCTTGACGGGTACGACGGTCACTTTGGACGTTGAGGCCAGTGGCATGTTCGACATTGTCAAGGCTACGTTCCAGGATAAGGAAGGCACCCCGCCCGACCAGCAGCACCTGGTCCTTGCTGGCAAGCAGTCGGAGTTTGAGGCTGGCCGTACTCTCCCGGATTACAACATCCAGAATGAATCGACCCTCCACTTGGCGCTGTGTTTGCGGGGCGGCATGCAGGTTTTTGTCGAGACCTTGACGGGTACGACGGTCACCTTGGACGTTGAGGCTAGTGGCACGTTCGACAATGTCAAGGCTACGTTCCAGGATAAGGAAGGCGCCCCGCCCGACCAGCAGCACCTGATCCTTGCTGGCAAGCAGTCGGAATTAGAGGATGGCCGTACTCTCCCGGGTAACTACATCCAGAATGAATCGACCCTTCACTTGGCGCCGCGTTTGCGAGGCGGCAGGCAGATCCATGTCAAAACCTTAACGGGTAAGACGATCACCTTGGACGTTGAGGCCAGTGGCACGTTCGGCAAGGTTAAACGAAGAGTGCGGCAGTGTCGTAGCCATCGGCTCCATCGGTGCCTTCGTGTACCAGGCCGGGTCCTTGCTCTTGCAGCAGCTGTAGCTCGATGATCCGGTGGATGCCAGCAACCAGCAGCTTTTGCTAAGATCTTACTTGCTTGATGCGTTATATGTGCTCGGCATGCGTGCTTGTATATACGCTGTCACTGTGCATGCATGTATGTCTCGAGCGGGCACGGTTCATTTGATAATCGTGTGGGGTGTAGCTTTGCTGTTTGCCTCCCCCCGGCCCCGGAGGAATAGGCGCAGAGCTTTGTTTGAGTTACCGGTAGATTCGTGCAGGGACTGTTTCCTTGAGGCCGATCTTGCACTTTGTAAGGGGTAGTGTTGCTCTGATGATTGCCTCCCTGGCCCCAGGAGGAACAACTCGGAGTTTTCGTACAGCTGCTGGTTTGCTTGTTAGGGTTTTGACTTTTGGGAGTTCAATCATCCCGTTTTGTTCGTGTTTGGCGAGTCATAGGTGAGACGACTTTTCGGTCCAAAGGGCTGGTCGGTTACATCTCACTCTACCCGCTCTGACATGCTTGAGTGCATACTGGCACGGTTTACATGCCTCAGCCAGATTTCTGCGCCAGGCTTTTGAATGTAATTAGGTGCATCCCAACGGCTGCGTTCGACCCGAACTCATTGCCCAGAAAGCGAGAAAGCGAGATATACTCGATTATTTCCATGTGTACTGTAGCACATTAGATCATGTATTGTATCATGTATTCTACTGCAACCACATTGTATCGTACTATACAACATTCGATTATACTATACTGAAAAGCAGAAAGGCTCGAAATTCCCATCCGGCCAAAGGAAGAAAGGTGGTTCGTCCAGACTTGAAACGGGCTCCGGCATGTATCCATGCGTCCCCAGGTGTGCATGTTCGTCTTGCAATCTTTGTTCTGCGTAGCTCGGCAGCCAGCCATTGATGAAGCCATTGAAGTCTCGCAGGTCCTTCAAGTCACTCTCTCCCTCACTTCTTCCCAAGATCCTTCCAGAACATGGCCTGGAAAAATTACGTTGCTCTTTGAAATTTAAGCCGTCAATTCAGCCTGCTGAAGGGCAGTACGACACACAAACCAGCAAAGTCATATCTGCAGACAGAGCCAACCAACTTCTCTCAGGGTAATTAACCGTTGGCCGCTTCAAGCTTGAAAGAAATGACAGTCCTGTGTGATCAATGTGCATCTCGCAAACGGCGCAAAGATCACGGGCGTAACGATCTCAGGTTGAAGCTTGACATGCGGATCGCAGGCCTAATTCGTCGCCCTCTTCTGAACACGGAAGTGAACAATACAGGCGCTGCGATGGCTGAGCTCGAGGCCCAGAATGTGAAAGAGATAACCACCAAGAACATCGGCAGCTGACCCTGGCTTCAAACACGTCTTGAAACGCGGCAACGAATCCTAGTGACTTCTACACGAACTGTGGAGCTTAGAACTGTGCTGGTTCTTGCCTTTTGCGATCGCGGTGAGTCCGGATCATCCAAGGAAAAGAAACTCGGCTTACTGTTGCACAACAATGACAACTAACGATGACCAGGAAAACTTCAATTGCGGCTGCAGAGCAGCCCTGTGCCTGACACACACGTAAGAACTGCCTGCAAGCGGGATAGGTGCATGCAGCACGAAACGATTCCGCAGGCAGAATCCCCTCCGACAAACCCTTGAAGTCACACAAGCGTCTGCTTGCCTGAAATGTCTGGCTTGCGAGCAGGTTGTAAACAATGTACAACACCATAAGACCTGGGCAGTGGGTGCAGAGCCTCGTGTTTCGGTGAACCAACTTTGCATATTGCGTGCTGTCCTAGATCCAAGTCGTCGAAATGTTCTTTTGGTCTGACAGCAGTGAAGATGCAGCTGCAGGCTTTAGAACGCCTCGTAGACCGGAACTACAACATTGCCTGAACGACCACACGGTGCGAAGTCTCTGGACTTGAAAAGAAACTCCAGCAGGAGGCAGAGTTGGCAAACACTCTAACTTTGCACCAGGGTCATCCAGGGTCTGCACGGATCGAGGGTGTGTAGTGCGACTTGAAGTAGTTGCAGTAGTTGTCCTGTGATCATTCTGTCATGCCACCGTTCAGGTGTCGCTGCCGGCTCAGTCGCTCTTAGTGTTTGACCGCCTGGCTGCACTATTCTGAACCAAACTTCAGAAGGCTCGTGGAAAACCATCCACCAAACCACCGTCGAAACACAGGCTACTGCAAGCAGAGACTGCTCAGAGACGATGTGCTCAAATTCGAAACGCTTTTGAATGAATAATGCCGATTGTGTGAGCTCGAACGGTGGACACGGTCGCACGGTGACTGAGTGGACATGAGTGCACCAGGATCCGCGCGGAATGTTGGACATGGTGACATGGTTCAATGTCGAGGAATTCCGTTGCAAAGCGCATCCTTCCAAGTCTGGTGGAGGTTCGCCAGAGGTCGCCCGGTTCCTGCATACCTCGATGCCGGACCAGTGAGTGGTGCAGTCTAGCTCAAGCTTTCCGGAGCCCGCGCCTTGCGAGTCCGGAGATGGCGCCAGCGCGCATGGCCTGCAGCCCATTCGATGAGTCCCAGACCGGCATTGCAACGCAAACTGACAGGAACTCTGCTCCTGAAAAGCTGCAGGATCGCTTTTGCAGAGTTGGGGCATTGCTCGACACTTCGAGGCCCAAGCAGCGGCGATGCTTTTGTTTTGGAAAATGAAGAACATCGTCGATGCCTAAGCGCGAAATCCAGCACTTCGGAACGAATCAAAGCAGCATCGTTCCACACAAACATCTTTCGGTCAGAGTCTCATCGCCATTCCCAAAGGCCCGAACCGGAAGGCCGCCGAAGACCTCCCTGCATGCTCGGTTGGCCCCAAACCTCGGCTGGCGAAGCTCCGAAGCTCCCAGGCTCGGAGACACGGCTGCGAGGAACAAAGCCGAGGCAGCTGCTCGAGGATCATCTCGCAAAACTGCGGGACGAGACCTAGAGCGAGCCAACTCAATCCGGCCCCGTGGCCCCGTAGCGGCCACACAGCGAGCGAGGCCCGGGCTCATGATGCCCAGCGACAAGAGCCACTCCTGGACGACAGATGCGCTACGGGCGCGGCCGCTGTGCGGTGTGCCGGGGGGGTATGTGCCGGGGGAGGACGGTGGCTCCACATGCCAAACACCACTCCTGAGGCAAAACGTTGCATCGTCACGCATTCACTTCGGCAGAAAATTCAGAACATACGGTGCTGTCACCACCCCAATCAACACATGAGCTTGAAGCCCGGAAAGCAGAACCTCTGAAGCCACAGTTGCAAGCCCTCAAATGAGCTTCCAGTCACTTTGTGCCAAAGGCTCACGAACAAGGTGGATGTAAGGACTGTGCATATATTACAGACTGGTTGGAGGAAAGAACACGACTTCGTGATGCGGACCCTTTTCCCGTTGTGCGCTCTGCGGGAAAGGTTTCCTTTGAGGGCTCTGGAGGACAAGATCAAAGACCTCAAACGGCTCCGTCTTCTGTCGGAATTCTAAGGCCAGGGCCCCATTGAAGGAGGAGCCCAAAGCCGAGAGCTTCGTCAAGTCGATGTTGGCCTTCAAGAGTCCGGCTCTGCCCACTGAGAGCTGAATCTAGGGTGTAGGAATGTAGGGTTTAGGGTTTGAGGATGCAAGACGAGCAGAGGTTGCTGCTTGAACTTAGTTTGACAACTTGAGCTGCTGTCGAGTGTATTAGTTACCACATGTCAAAGCAATGATGGACAGCTCTGCATGTCCACGAGATCAGAGGAAGCTCGTATCCGAGTACATGTCATCCAGCACGATGTCCCCGTGCTGAGACGCGCACTAGCGTGAAAACGATGAAAAGGGTGACCTGGTGACCACAACGAGCCCAGGTAAAGATGTCATCCACCAGTCACAATGTGGGCAGGCTGTGACCACATACATGATGGGTCCAGCCCAAGCACTTAACTCGAGACCAACAACTGAGCCTGACTGTGGCTGAACACAGAGCGCCGCACGTATAGTGTGATGGAGAAATCGATCAAGAGATTGCTAACCTGATGCCAGGGAGCACAGGGAACAACTCCCAGTATGATAGGAAACTCGCCTCATCTGACTCCGGGATTGATTGAATTCCACGGAGCATGTTGCCGCAAAACTTGCTCTACCAGACTGCTCGAAGAAATTGTCCAAGGAGAGATCTGTCTCAGCCAGCACTTTCAAAGGCTCTTGGACACAGAAAGGCATTTCTCAAATCAAGAAGTTTCGTATGATGTGGCGGAAGTAGCCCCCCCAAATGCCAAATGCGCAATCACGGCAACGAGGCCTTGCCCTGGCTGCATATATCGGCTGATGTCAGTTATTGCTATACTTATGCAGGCACCATTCTGTACTTGCTGCCAAGCTGCGTAGAATGCTACGGAGGTGAAGTAGAACGATAAAGAATGAAGAACACCAATCCTGCACGAGAGCTGCTCGCAACATTCAAAGGCATGTGCGCATCTAAGCCCCAACTTTAAGCATCGCCAGGTCATCTGAAGACAACATAAAACAACTACCAACAAAACATTAAGCTGTTTCCATAACCCATCGTGCCGATGCCATGCATTCATGCAGGTGGAGCCAAACCTCACTGCCCCTTGCAGCTTCGAAGTCCAAAACAGTCCTAGAGTTCAGCAAGGCTGGCCTTTCGCATAGCAGGTGATTGTCTCGAGAACGAATTATGCCCACGCTTCCCGCGGAAATCTTCGAGAAGAAGAGCGACCTTGCACATTGCTTGCATTCTGACTCTGAGACGGTGCATGGCAATGCTATACGTTTAACGTGGTTTCGTTTCGGAGACATGGCACGCAGATCTTGAAGCTTTGTACCAGGCAGTTTCTCAGTCTAAACCTGGCTTTGTCGTTTGACGGACCAGGCCCAGGCAGCGTGCAAGGCTTTCAAACGTGTCGTTAGCTCCAAGTGCTTTGGCCATTGCCTGAGACGGCGCTTTCCTCTGAGCGCCGCGCGCGGCGTTGAAAGCGGCCTTTGAGATTTACATCTTCTGATGGGAGATGAGGCGTCAGGGCATGACTGCAGCTATACTCACCGGGCCCGACTGACAGCGCCGGCATATCGTTACGTAGCCAATGCACTCGAAGCAGGAATCGAAGTGACCGAAGCACAGATCCACCTCGCGCCCCTTCTCGAACTCCAACACGTCCACGTGCGGCGACGCTTCGGCGCGCATGTGGAGGTTGTAACCTCCAAATCAGACGAGTTGTCGCAGGTCAGAGGTTGAAAGGCACCCTCGCAGTCAGATTCATGTAACATGCACATGCCTTCGCTCCGAAAACTCACAGTCAAGTGTTGACCATGACGGACATCCGAGCTGCATCTGAAGGCTCTAGCTTTCACATGTGTCTCGCATCCTTGAGAGAGGCCCAGCCTGCAAAAATGTCCTCGCTGAGGTTCACAACGGCAGAGCCTTTACCTGGCTGAAGCATACAAGCAGTGGCTCTGCAGCACTCCATACTCTTCCCCTTTTCTTCAACCCCTGACCCCAAGCACGGCGGATGGGCTCATTCCACCTCGATTTCGCGCCCAAAAGGCGCAAACAAAATCTGGATGACCGTAGTGCATTCGGATGCCCATGCCTCACACAGGTTCGCAGTCGCAGGTCGGGTCTGAATGCCTCTACTGCTTAGCGAAATTTGTCGGACATGAACCACCTAGCGGCTAGGAACTTTAAGGTGCGCACCACTCGATTCAACTATGCGACTTTGGCTTGCCGGTCTGGACGTTGACAATGACCGAAATTCATTCTGAAGTTTCGTCTCACGTATGCGCAGATGGACTGCAAGCTTACGTCTGTTAACCTTTGCGGTGCGAGCAAGACACGAGGTGCTTTGCCACTGCTGCCAATACTCTGTCTCGCCAAGGCACCGCTCAGAAATCGCTGGTAGATGGTACCAAAGGTCCACTCCGCGGCTGCATGGCATTTGCCCACCTTCGGTCGGAGCTTAATCTGTGAAAGGCGATCTTGAATAGACTTAGCCCTCCAACGGTTCTGAGCTGCCAAGGTCAAGCGGCAGATCGATGCGGCGAGACGTCTGGGTGCCCAGCTGTCCCCTCTCGGCCGGTGTAGATATACTCCCGGAATCCCAGGTAGCGACAGCGAGAGGCCACACCTCACTTCCGAGATTCATGCACCGATGAAGGCAGAGAAGTGGGGTGAAAAGAGGGTGGGGTTGAAGATTGACTTTAAGAAATGAACTGTCTAAACCTGATGCTTGGCAAATATTGTGGTTCCAAGTCCTATAGTCGCGTGCTCCCCTTGTTGGTGCAGCATTTCGATACTTCTTTACTTCCTTCCCTCTGACGAAACTCGAACCCAGCCGAACAGGAACAAGCATAGACTGGGTCGTGCACGGTTCTTCTGGCCCAAGGGCAGGAACCGCCGAAGCACATAAGGAATCTGGCACACCGGCACACCGGTCAACAACAGCGGGTCATCGGCGGTTCGCTGGAGAAACTCCCTGCAACTCCGAAGCCTTGAAAGCCTCGCCGATGAAGGCGCCCATGTTGCAGTCCAGGGCCTTTAGAGAGCCGGGAGAGCCGAGGGCTCAGGTGGGAACCCCACTTGAAGGCTTGGCAACGGCTGATATCAAACTTAGCTGTCGCGGATTCGGGCCTGAATGCGGTGACCCGCCGCAAACCAGAGAGCGTTCATCTGGTTGCAGGCCTGGCAGAACAGCAGAGCGTCGAGGGCGGGCCTGGTTGAAACTTGGTAGAGCCCTCCAATCCCGCCCAGTTCAGAAGAGCTCAGCATGCTAACTGGCATAACTCTCACATGTACTCGACCTTAAGTCTTGTCTTCCTTGCCGGCTTCTCCTCTCGACCACGGCTCAAACACAAGTTTTGCTCGCGGCGTCCAGCAGAAAAACAGCTGTGGACGCGGTGATCTTGGCAGATGCTGAAGGCTTTCTGTGCTTCCAGGGGAAGGACCTGATCGAAGATGGAAGAGGCAGATTGTTTCGGATCAGGCGCACGCTGACGCGATGAAAGGAAAGCCCTCTGTTTCAGACTCTCTCGAGTGCTCCTGGAGCTGACTCTGACCACTTCTTTGGTGCCCAGATGTCTTGCCGAAGATCTCCGTCCCATGCTTTCCCACGCTGGACGCTGCCTGAACTACAAGCCTGATTTCGGTCCAACTCCCGCCTATTGAACTTCTGCGAGGCTTCCGTCTTCAGGCTTTGTCCGTTGGGATTGCGATGATTTCGGCTCGGTTGCAATCGAAACAGCGGCGAACCGCTTCTGGATGAGTTGGAGTGGCGAGATGTATGCTTCGTCCGACAAAGCGTCCGCTGGCCCTGTCCACGAGTTCGCGGTCGGGGTCGGAGCCTGCAGTGGCCCCCCTTCATTGCTCAGGCCACCAGTGAGTCAACTTCTGACTCCGGGGCACCAACGGCTTCAGCCTCGAGCTTGAGCTTGTCGGGCGAGGTTTTGGCATCGCCGAAGAAGCGGTACTCGCCAAGGCGCTGGAAGAGCCAGGGCTCCAGTAGGGCCACGAGCCCCAGCAGTGAGGCCTGGAAGCACCAGAAGGAGCCCCACTCCCTTCCCAGGACCAAAACCAGCATCGATGCGTTCAACCCGACACAGGCCAAGACAGGTAGCACGTAGGAAGGACGGTAGGACATGAAGCCACCTATACTGGCGGCGAAGTAGAGCATGAGGTTCACAGATGACAGAGCTCGGCCCAGGAGGCTTCCCACTAAGCCCGGAAGGAAGTTGTACTGGATATTCATCACCGGCCAAACCTGGTGGTGCCAGGGTCCGGCATAAGTGCAGATCGACGTCATCCAACCAAATGCCCTCCCGACGACTTGCACCAGCACGCCACTCACCCCGCACAGGAGAGCAAAGCAAAAAAACTGCTGCGCCGATTGCCGAAGCTCCGGAGTGACATCCACAGGGCACAGCAGCGGCTGAGTGCACATCCACGCAGGCACCGCGCACACCAAACACGCGATCGCGATTGAGACCGTCTGGTTCGTCTCATCACACTCCGTAGAAGAGGAGCCTATGTGTGCCCACAACACAACCTGCAGCCATTCCTGCAGCACCAGTGGGAGAATCAAATATGCATTGGGCCGGTCGTACCGCAAGCCACGACAGCAAAGCACAAGAAGACACAAAGTTTCTAGCGAAGCTGCTGCCAAGGTGACTTCGAAGGTCCAGCACATGGCCGCAACATGCAGGCATGAGCTACAGCGCTGCTTGAACCTGCTTGACCTGCTTGCACACCACTCCGAGGGTCTTGGTAGGCTTTGGGAACCCAAACTCGGAGAGATTTGAGGCGCCGTGTCCCATTTCCAAAACCCTGCAATCTGCTTTTGAGAAAGTCTCGACACAATGCCGGCCTTGCCCTGCGTCTTGTAGTTCCCTTCGCCTGTGCCAGCTGTGCAGCTACCGGGAATGTTGTTTCGCAACAGCTGCAGAAAACGTTTGTCCCAAGACTTCGTGTATGTCTGCAACGTCACTGCTTCAGTCAGCCACTTCCATCCTAAGACTAATTCTCTTCCATTGTCTCTCAGACACCGGGCCTATTCGCAGGGGAAACATCCGTGGCAGCACCTGAGCTATGCATTCGACCATTACAGCCAACTTCCGTCTCAGAGGTGCAAGAACGGCTGGCATGTCGTTCCCTGTGTCGTCCTTGTGTTGCAGACTGGTATTCTCAACCTAAATGCAAACGAGAGGCTTCCACGACTGTGAGACCCATTTCCTTGTCCCACCTGCACTGTGCCGCGCGACATGCAGTCCTCCTTCGGATGCCCCGTTCGCATGCCTATTTTTACTTCTCTCGCTACTTAAGTCATCATCCTCCTCCTTCTCCTCCTCCTCCTCCTGCTGCCTGCTGCCTACTGCCTACTGCCTAGTCCATACTTCTTACTGCCTACTGTCTACTGGTAGTGGTGATAGTACTAGTACTAGTAATGGTCGTGGTAGTGGTAGTGGTCACTACTCACTACTACTACTACTACTACTACTACTACTACTACTACTACTACTACTACTACTACTACTACTACTACTACTACTACTGCTACTACTGCTACTGCTACTGCTACTGCTACTGCTACTGCTACTGCTACTGCTACTGCTACTGCTACTGCTACTGCTACTGCTACTGCTACTGCTACTAATACTGCTACTGCTACTGCTACTGCTACTGCTACTGCTACTGCTACTGCTACTGCTATTGCTACTGCTACTGCTACTGCTACTGCTACTGCTACTGCTACTGCTACCACCACCACTACAACCACAACTGCAACGACGACGACTACTACTTCTGCTACATCTGCACTATTACCACCACTACCACTCTCACTGCCACTAAACCTACCACTATCGCCACCAACCCCCACGACTACCGCCACTACCACTACGACGACTGAGAACACGATCACTGCCTGGACAGTACTCACAGGCAACGACGATGGCGAGGACGACGACGACTACTTGATAGCACTAGTCCAGCGTTTGATGTTCCAAGTTGTTGTAATTCCAACCTTTCTCTCAAGAATTGCTACAGCTACTTTTGAATGCCTTACCGTTGCAGCATAAGTCGCATATGCTGCTTCTGGTGTTCCTGTTGATGATATTTATTCTGATGCAGAGTCTTGGCAGAACTTGCCTGCATTTCACGCTGGCATACTTGTAGGGGATGTTCTCCTCTCCTGGCATCGGGTGCTTCTTCTCGCCGTACTCAATCATTTGTACGTTCATCGATTGCCGGCCATGATCGAATTGCTTGACTGACTCTGGTCTTCGACGATGCAGCATCCAGCTTGCTCTACACTATTGCACGAATGCCCTGCTAGGGCTCAGCCGGTGCCTATGCCAGGGGAGCCTTCCCTCAAGGGCGCTTCGTCACCTGGGTCTTGGAACAATGATTCCCGACATGTTTCCTCTGGTCATGCAGCGTACAGAACACCAATGCACTCCGTGGGCAGTCCGAACTGTTTGGCTTGCCCCGAATGCTACATTGCTGCATGTCGATCAATCTCATCATCAAGTTTCTTTCCGAGACCAAAGGAGGTGGGGTCCCTAGCCCGCCCAGCCTCCAGTGTACTGTCCAGAATCCTGCGTCGAGATACGCACAAATATGAGTTGAGCTGCTGATCAACACACACAGATATAAATATAAATATATATATATATATATATATTTTTTTTTATTTGTTTATTTATTTATTTATAGATGGCGCCCCCACATGCACCCAGGCCTTGCTTTTATTTCTCAGCTATAGGAAGCCGTGGGTTATTGGGATCGGGAGGATCCCCGTAGGTCGTTACAGTCTTCCTTATGCTTAAGCACAAGACTCTCGCTGCAAAACCGGATACAGCGTATACAAACGGATTCAACATACATTCAGCTGAATACGCGTCGGATCCACGATTGAAGATTCTAAGGAAGACCCTGCACCTTCAATTGTGGATCCGGGCGTATGGAATTGAATAGTACGCTTTGAAAAGGAGCGGAATGCATTCAATTCAAACACTATGCCCGGTTGCCACCAAGGCGGTGACAAAGACTCCAATCCAGCAAACTGCAAACACGATTCATTGTCACCTCCAAGATAGTAGCAACGCTTCCTCCTTACAGCAGAGAGTCCTACTCAGCACAGTATCAGCAATTCGCAACAAAGTGCTGACATCCATGAGTGTTCAATGGTCATCATGTTCTCAGTGAAAATTGAAAGTCGGTCTTGTGCGAGCGACAGCTCCTAATTGGACAAACCGGACATGACCTAAATGATGCACAGACTTCAGATGAACTATACTCAACATGAACGTGTAAAACCCAACTGGCATGAAAACGCGAAGACAAGAAACAACAAAATCGAACAACAACTTGTCGAAATCCATGTAACCGAGCATAATACATTGTCCATGAAGCAGCCAGAAGCTGTCGAATTTGGTTCTGACCAAGAGCTATCCTCTTTCAGCAGGTTGTTGAACAAAATCATACATGTTAGCCGATGCAGCCTTCACCGGCAAGTAGTGCAAGCACAGGTGGGAATATTCAAGCAATAACGGCTGGCGGCTGGTAGGTGTATTTTATCAGAATGTCAATGAACAACTGAAGAATGTGCTTAACAGCTGTTGAACAAAAAACATTTTGCTCTGAGTGAATCACAGGAGCAACGTACCCAGGATCTCAATCAAGACATAGTACGGAAAAAATAGGCTGAAGTTGCCGGAACACTGAATGTAAGCTTATAACCACAGTATAGGGACAATGGTATTGGTGAAAAGTATCACTGGCACATGCAATAGTGAAACTGCACTACACCTGATACGATGAACTAGTCATGGAAAACCATATCAGCAGCGTAGACGTTCCGAAGAATACAAGTTGCGATCAGATAGGCTTGTCGGCCTGTAATGACACGCACACATCTCACAACAAGCTCACCATACGACGACGAATTCCCACGATTTCAATCGCAACGTGTGAAGGGAGTAGCATGTATGTATGTATGCATGTATGTATATATGCTTTATATATATATATATATATGTATATACATATGTATATATATATATGTATATGTATATGTATATGTATATGTATATGTATATGTATATGTATATGTATATGTATATGTATATGTATATGTATATGTATATGTATATGTTATGTATATGTATATGTATTGTATAGTATGTATATGTAATATGTATATGTATATGTATGTATGTATATGTATATGTATATGTATGTATATGTATATGTATATGTATATGTATATGTATGTATATGTATATATAGGTATATGTATATGTATATGTATATGTATGTATATATATATATATATGTATATGTATATGTATATGTATATGTATATATATATATATATATATAAATATGAACACCTGCCTACCGAGAATACATGCCACCTTTTTCCTTCCTAATCTTGCTCTGCACACCTGCATGCCAGACTGCAAGGCTGCACGATGGAGCTTTTACTGCCTTTGCTTCGACTCACAACTGAAGTGATCAAGCGAAAAGAACTGTCGTGTTACAACCAATTCTCGGAGCGACGAGGAAGATCGATTAACCACCTACCCCCCACCCCGCCTTCACTGACCTCCAGACGAGGTTCCGAACTTCGGCACCAGTCTTCTCGTTCACATCGAAGACGAGGTAGACAGGATCGTCTGCGTACCTCCATGGATGGCTTTCAGGGGAGGGCAAAACCGCGCCCACATCCGACTAGAGCTGGGCGTCAAGAATCTAGGAGAGAATTGCTTCAGCGCCACCGTGCTGATCAGATCGCGCATTGCAACAGTCTGTTGCTTCGTAAAGATTGGCAGACATGACTCAGGCTACAATGGCGACAAACTACAAAACCCCGTCGCGTCTCAATGCTGCAACTAGCCACTACTCCCATGACACATGCAGGTGCATAGCAATTTCGCTGACACAGAATGAGCAGTTACTCTGGCTCACGGGAGAGAGAATCACACAAGGAAAGTGCAAGAAGGAGGGAGAGAGCCCATGGCCTCCGCAGCAGCTGCTTCACCGCATCGTCGTTTTCCGGATTTCCGTCTGGCACACGCTGTCCTCAGCAGAAGCATTCAGCAAACCGATGAATCTTTCAGGAAAGTTGGTACCACCACAGTTACTGCGAGGAAACTTCACAAAGTGAACTGGCGACAATGGCTTCCCGAAGGCACAGTGCATCGCAGTACAATCCAGCAAGGCTCCCTTGGGGAGGCTTTCAACAAATTCGACGTGAAGGTGGGCCTGCAGGTACAAAGCCGCATGCAGTGCCAGAATACAGTGCGAAAAGAACTTGTCTTGACACACTCAGCCACCTCCAGCTCCATACGGAGTCGGTAGATCTGTGCATATCACTGCAAGATCTCGTGCAATGCCGGGATGTCTTTGCCACAGCTGCTGGAGAAACTTTTCAACGTCGGCCTCAAAGGCCGAGTGACGCTGATGTTCTCGGAGCAACGATGCTTGCTGAAGTTCTACGAACTGCTCCAGCTGCTGCGACTGCCGGCGAAGCTCGTCTGAAGTTTCCTGTTCCTCGCCGACCATGAACCGAGCCACCTCCAGCTCCGCGCGGAGTTTCTCAAGGGGGCTCGGCTCCTGCCGGGCAGTAAGCTGCATTGCGGCACACTCCAGCAGAGCTGACAACAGCTCTCTCTCGCAATTTCGCGCGGTGCATTCTTCCAGGTTCAAACTTCTCGACTTCTCGTCGTTCTCTTGTACCCGGCGATGCAACTCCTCCTTCTGTTGCTGCAGCGCCGCATGGGCCTTCTCCAGCTCCGTGCTCAGCTGCTGCAGCTCAGCTTCTTGAGATTCGAGCTGCTCTTTCATAGTGTGCTGCTGCCTTTCCGTCCTTCTCTTCTCCTCCTTGAGTTGGACTGTAGCTCTTGACACACTCTTTGCGAGTGATTCAACATGTACCGTGTCTCCTCCAAAGCACTCTGGAGCTGATTAACTTGCTCTTCCAGCACGCTCTAGTTTCTCTCCATTTGCAACCGGTCTGGAACCTGTTCGAGGGCCAAAACTTCTTTGCAGTTCGTTGCTTTCGACTGCCGCTGCGGCTCGCAGAGTCACTGCGACACACCGGCGAGTTTCGTCCACATTGATGCCATGGGCATCCTTGCAACGGAGGAGTCCTAAGTCTGTCACCACCCCAACCAACACGTGAGCTCGAAGCCCGGAAAGCAGAACCTCTCCCGCTTCTTTGCTTCTGAAGCCACAGTTGCAAGCCCTCAAATGAAATTCCAGGCACTTTGCGCCAAACGCTCACGAACAAGGTGGATGCATTGACTATGCATTTTTTACAGACTGGTTGGAGGAAAGAACACGACTTCGTGATGCATACCCTTTTCCCGTTTTGCACTCTGCGGGAAAGATTTCTTTTGAGGGCTCTGCAGGGCAAGACCGACTTCTTACTGCCTCGCAGCACAATCCAGCAATGCTTTTTTGGGGAGGCTTTCGACGTGAAGGTGGGCCTGCAGGTACAAAGCCGCATGCAGTGCCAAAATACAGTGCGAGAAGAACTTGTCTTGACACACTCAGCCACCTCCAGCTCCATACGGAGTTGGTAGATCTGTGCATATCATTGCAAGATCTCGTGCAATGCCGGGATGTCTTTGCCACAGCTGCTGCGGAAACTTTTCAACGTCGGCCTCAAAGGCCGAGTGACGCTGATGTTCTCGGAGAAACGATGCTTGCTGAAGTTCTACGAACTGCTCCAGCTGCTGCGACTGCCGGCGAAACTCGTCTGAAGTTTCTTGTTCCTCGCCGACCATGAACCGAGCCACCTCCAGCTCCGTGCGGAGTTTCTCAAGGGGGCTCGCCTCCTGCCGGGCAGTAACCTGCATTGCGGCACACTCCAGCAGAGCTGACAACAGCTCTCTCTCGCAATTTCGCGCGGTGCATTCTTCCAGGTTCAAACTTCTCGACTTCTCGTCGTTCGCTTGTACCCGGCGATGCAACTCCTCCTTCTGTTGCTGCAACGCCGCATGGGCCTTCTCCAGCTCCGTGCTCAGCTGCTGCAGCTCAGCTTCTTGAGATTCGAGCTGCTCTTTCATAGTGTGCTGCTGCCTTTCCGTCCTTTTCTTCTCCTCCTTGAGTTGGAGCTGTAGCTCTTGACACACTCTTTGCGAATGATTCAACATGTACCGTGTCTCCTCCAAAGCACTCTGGAGCTGATTAACTTGCTCTTCCAGCACGCTCTAGTTTCTCTCCATCAGTTCGTTGCTTTCGACTGCCGCTGCGGCTCGCAGAGCCACTGCGACGCACCGGCGAGTTTCGTCCACATTGAGGCCATGGGCATCCTTGCAACGGAGGAGTCCTAAGTCTGTCACCACCCCAACCAACGCGTGAGCTCGAAGCCCGGAAAGCAGAACCTCTCCCGCTTCGTTGCGCCTGAAGCCACAGTTGCAAGCCCTCACATGAAATTCCAGGCACTTTGCGCCAAACGCTCACGAACAAGGTGGATGCATTGACTATGCATTTTTTACAGACTGGTTGGAGGAAAGAACACGACTTCGTGATGCATACCCTTTTCCCGTTTTGCGTTCTGCGGGAAAAAATTCTTTTGAGGGCTCTGGAGGGCAAGACCGACTGCTTAGGAGTCGTCAGTTTTGAGGCGGTTTAGAGAACTGTCCTTACGATAATCTAGCACCACCTTCCTTACGACCAGTTTCGACAATCATCGAATCTACTGTATCTTCGTTTGCAATGCCATCATCAATCACCTTATCCCTAGTGTGAGCGTTTTCTACTACATCGCTGTTGCTATTCCATCATTATCACTAACTTCGATTGTCATCGCCGAAACCTGATCGTGAACTCGTCGTGAAACTTGCGCTGACACGACACTACGACGAATCCTTCGGAGACGTTGCACTCACGACACACCGACGCAGAAAATCTCAGCCCGACTATCCCAAGGTCTGACCGGTTCGGAATCTTGCCGGAAAACACTGGAGCTACAGGGCTGAAGAGCAGAGCGGCATATGGTAAATTCTTGGCTTCCAACCGAAGGTCTGATCCGCGAGTATCAGCTCGGCATGATCCTGCACACGCCGTGTGTCCAAATCCTAAACAAGATAAACAAGTGGGATGGTAGCAGCAAGCTGCCAAGCCCTCCCAGACCTCTGGGATCCGTTTGCCGGTGTTTTCGTAGTACTTCCTTATCCTCGGACAGCCATTGATCGTGAGGCTTTGGCTCCGGCTTCGCTGCAGAACTGCCGCTGTGGATCCCACAGCACTGGTAGCTTGCACTCTGTCTGGACCGAGATACACTCAAACTGCACTACAGTAGCAACCTCTGACAGAATCTGCGGGTTCGGCTGCACGCGGCTGCAAAAAAAGTGGGAGCCTGTGACTGAGTTTCGATCTTGGGCAATGAGGACAACGCATGCCTCGGCACATGAGAACCACTCCAGAGAGATCTGACAGGCTTCCATTTCCAGAAAGGATGAGGTCGCAGCTGGTACTGCAGCGCACCGATCACCGTCTTCGCCACGGAGTGGGTGCGCATCGCAGCCCAGAGACGGATCTGGAGCTCTTTTGTGCACGACGGTTCTAGGGTTTAGGGTCCTATACCCTAAACCCGAAACCCTACACCCTGAGCCCTAAGCCCTGAACACAAAGGCTCTCCTCTCGCCGCTTCCCTGGAGGCGCCTCGAGCTCCAAATCCAGGCCCAGCTGCCCCGGGGGTGCCAGGGCTGGCAGCTTGTCCTTCGAGTGGGGCAGGGGTTTCTTGGGTTTGGGCTTTGGGGTTGCCAGAGATCGCTGCTGAACCGGCAGCCGTGAAATATCGTGAAATGGATAATCAGCGTAAACGAGTCTGTCACTCCACAAAACCACATTGAGCAAGGCAACAGCACTGTTAGCAAAAGCCGTGTCCTCTATGAAGAGCTTGTATAGCTCGAGGAACTTAGCAGTTCAAGCATGAAGGCTGTGTGTAAACCTGGAGCAACATGCCTGCTTGCACTGCCAGAGGCTCGCGATTGAGACCGCTGCACTGCCCCGCTCGTCCTTGTAGACCCTGCCATCACGAAGCGTTTCGACACTACAGAAAGCGGGGTTGCCTGGCAGACTGCACAAGATTGTACCCAAGACGATGCGAACCAACAAACAGCAAATACGAACCAACACGCAGGGAATTCTCTCCGCAGCAGAGCAACGAGCTCTCAGCAACAGAAACTCTGAAACACGCCTGAACTTGTATGATCTCAGATACACCAGAAAAGCATGTCATGACCTTTCCCGAGAAATGCGTCTACGATCGCCACACGCCACTCGAACTGACACACTCTCAGCCCTGGCTGCAAGAAATCAAGCCCCAGCCCTGCCCACCTTTTTGCAAAGAAGAGCCACTCATCTGGAAATTGGGAGATGATGAAGGCCAGGTTCGTGTTGACCTGTGGCATGCGAGTCCAAGGCCGTCAGACAAGCAAAGTTCCTGCAATGCACTGCGAACGACTCTGTCCCATTCGATGCCAAACGTTCTCTCAACGCAAAGAGGGCGGATTCGTGGAAACACCAAGGCTGCCGCCCCATCGCCCAGCGGCGGTGCAGTCAAATCGCCGATGCCGTGCCTGTTTCTGAGAGGCGAGGTGTGTGAAACGTGGCACCTTGTGTCAGCGGGCTCCCTGTGGACATGGTCATCCCCTTGACTTGCTTAGCTGTTCTGAAGCCTAAACACCCAAGTCCCGAAGACTGTGCAGAATCTGTTGCTTCACAGTTCGAATCTACAAGAATCTAGCGGACGCAAGCCGCAAGCTGAACTGGTGCAAAGGCCCGGTTCCCCAGGGCCCGGGCTCGTCGTTGGGGCTCTGGTTCTTGGCATCCTGTTGGACAGAACCGGCGGCCCGGCGGCTATCGGATGATCGCGTATTCAGAGCGCATGGTGAGTCGAACTGCTACGACATCGCAAGCAGGGTGTTTCTTACATGCGAGCACCCAGAGTGCCTCCGGGGATGAACCCTTCCGCAAGAAGTCGGAGGTTGGGATCACCATCTGCACGCAAGAATGCGGATGCCGAGGTGCACGCACTGCGATTCACTTCACTCCCTCCCTCCCTCGCCCTCGCGCGGGGCCTCTTGGTAGCAGGGGATTATCTGCGTCAGCGATGGAACCGTGCCCGGCTCGAAATCCGGGGATGTAAGCCTTGGCCAAAAGCAAGAGCCTCTTTGAGAGCCTCAAGGACTCAACCACCAGACCTCTGCAAAATTGCTTTTGTTGCAGCTTCGCGGCTTGTCGGTTTCTTCAACCTGTGTGCCGTCGCCCGGTTCCTCGCAAAACTGCCAATGCTGATTCACAGCCCAGTGTCCCCTAGAAGCTAGCATCACACTTCAGCACAGCTACGTCAGCACACGGCGGCTGCACTTCCAAGCTGGTGAATCCGGCATGGGCCTGGATCCTCTCAAGAGACTGGAAGAAGAAGGCGAGCCGCTCTGCCACGATCTGGGGGAAGCGTGACAAGTGGATCCTTAGCAAGCAGGAAAGATGCCCGAACTTGTATGAAACCCAAACATGTCGGGTATGCCGCGCGGCCAGGTCTGCTATGTAATTGCCGGTCGTATTCCACATGACGACGCACATGCAACAAGATGTGGAATCCGACATCTTTGGTCGACTTGTGTGCATAGGCTGCGGACAGCTTGTCCTTGTGCTTATCGTCTGGCCTCGGCATCGATCACAAGGCGCGGCCACATCAAGGCATTGAACGAAACGACTGACAGTGACATCTGCCTGATGACAATACGAACACCTTCCCTGTTCGATACGATTTCAAAACACAGTTTTGCATATCTCACAACACCGCTGAGTCCGCGGGCAGGTCTTTCTTCTCGTGATGCCGGTGAAGTCTGCCTGAAGGAGCGCCAGCTCGGAGCTGGGGCAACCGGGCAACCAGGAGCTGCCCCGCCTGGGTCGACCTCCCCCCCGGGCGGTTCCGCAGCCTTCCGCAGCCACTCTGCCATGCGCTGGTCGATGAGAGACCTGTCTTTGAATGCGACTTGTAACACTCCCAGGTTCGCAAGTCTTCCCTGGAGTGTCGGCGGGTTGCACCTCTGAGACGGAGCCCAGAAGCTCGTCTTTCTTCTCAAGAGCTCGAGTGATGCACGCTGGCACGAGGCTGAGTCCCGTGCTCACTCAACAAGCTGTGTACCTCCAGCGGCGCTCTTCTTTCAGTGCTGGTAAAGACATAACGCTACGGTTTGGTAGTGCCAAAGGAGCCTGAAGCAAGCAGAAAGTATCCCTTCAAGTTCAAACGACCAAATGATTCTCGTAAGGCCGAGGCCATGCGTCCCCAAACCATACGCCAGCCGGGCCCGATCTTCGCTTGGAAGCGTCCGGCGTCTTTTCCCTGCGGCACTCCACCAGACCGGTCAAACACAGACAATGTCGTGGGGAGATGCTGAATTCGTGGAACTTAGCAGAGTTACAAGCCTGGCTGAAGGCAATTGAAATCAATTGAAGAAAAAACACGGAACAACTTCCCAAGCCCATCTGAGATCTCTGCCCCTGGTCTGAGGTTGATCGGCACGTCGACTCTCTTGACACTATTGAGCTGTCGATACTGACCTGCCAGCGTGCGGGAAGATTCAGCGGAGCCAGTGCAGCAACAGCCTGACTGCTCTGCAGTTCCTGGCTTCGACGATTGCGAAAGTCCAGCTTGGGCCGATACCCATGCACAGCCCGCCGATTGCCGAGAAGATGTAGAAAATGAAGTAGATGTCAACCTCAGCTATTCTTGAGGCTTGCTGGCTTTGCCTCCCCTTCTTCTTGCAAGCGCTCTGCTCCCCATGCAAAGCGAGCTCCTTTCCAGAGCCTACTCCCATTGCCCATGCAAAGACTCCTTGGGAGCAGGCGATGCACCCAACCAGGACCAAGGTCAGTGCAAAGAGCCTGGAAACGCGAACGAGCCGTCCTTCCCCTCTGGAGTTCTGACATCGCAGAAATCAGAAAGAAACTATTCTCGGCAAGCAGCACGCTGCAAACGCAGGTCGCACATCCAAAGTCGAGCAGGTTCTCCTTGCCATCAGAACCGTCACTCAATCTCGAATGCCACAATGCCCTGTACAAGCCACAAGCGCGGCTAGTCAGGCTAGTCCTTCTCTGAACATTCACCCACCTGTGCTGGGATGCCGATGACCTTCAAGACAGAACTTGCTTAAAATGGTTGCAACTTCAGCGGTCGACCCACTGAAAGCACATGCTGCCTGTCCCCCTCTCAAGTTTTCAGCGTGCTTGTCCCCGTTTGGGGAGTTCGTGGGGTATCGCTTATAGGACGGCCAAACTGCAGGTATTGACCTGGTTTAGCATGTCCGCGTAGTGCTGCACATGCTGCAAACGGGTTCGGCTGTACAGGCACAATGCCTTGTAGGGTTTCAATTGCGTTGTTGAATATGCAACCGGTCCAAACCCATTACAGAAGCACCGCTACAAATGCAGCTGTCCGGATCTTTCACAGCTCTGAAACGGTTAGCTTACACACGTTAGCTCAGTTCGCTAGCCATCTGCGACTCTAAGTTGCATGTTACCCTTGAGCTTGGCAGTGAATGAGACCGGAAGTTGCCTCAGGGCATTATCAACTCGTTGGGAAAATCAACAGCGATGTGATGTCATCACAATAGCTGTAGTCCGTGTTATCACCCCACTTGTCTTGGCTCAACTCCTGAACTCTCTTGACTACACAGTCTGCTGACACTTGCTTCAGCATCCTGGCAATGCCGTGGGCAACATAGTCTGCATCCATGAATTGCCAGACACCATCTGTGGCTATAAACACAAAAGGTTTCTTGTACGGGTCAACTGTAGTCTTGCTCACCTCCGGTTCAGCGATAATTCCATACTTTTTCATCGCATCATCACCCAGACATCGGGCCATTGCAAGGCCCGGGAACTTGCTGCCACCCACATAGACTCGTGGCGAATCGAGAGCCCCATCTGCGTGTTGGGGAGTCCGGACTTCTCCACCACAAGCCTCGATGCGTTCGGTCTCTGCTTGGCAGTCGGGCGTGTGGTCTTGAGATGCATACACCAAGCTCTCGTCCTCCTCGGACCCAATCACGACTTTCGAATCACCAACATGGGCCGTCCATATTTCGTTGTCCTTGAACAATGCCACTACCGCAGTGGCTCCACTGTGGTTCGCGTCGTACTTGGCCTCGGCAGCATGTGCCACGACATCCTTGTGTGCCTGGTTGAAGACCGTCAAGAGACCCTGCTCGATGTCAGCATCAGTAAGGCTGGCGTCAAAGCCCAGCTGTTGCAGCAGAAGAAAAGGTAGTGTCTGCACGATGCGTTCGGAGACCTTGTGTCCACAGCGACCATGGCCATCGCAAACACATGCCAACGTGTGGCCAGACTTGAACCGTGTCACTGAAAAGTTATCTTGATTTGGCTCCTCATCTTTGAAGCCTTTTTGGCAGGCGAAATGTGCAGCGTGAACCTCCCCAAAAGCCGCGGTCTCCCGTTCTGTAGCGCAGGGGGCAGAGGACTGAGACGCTGCGTTTATTCCATGCAGGTGTCCAAGTACGTCGCTCCGGAAGGCATTGTCGAGCTCCTCTTGTCTGATCGGAAGCGAAAACACGGTCTCCTTCGGTGCTATGTTGAGGCTGTCTGCCTTGGTCTCTGCGTTTCGTGGACTAGTGCCGAGAAGGCATCCTGGCCCGGGTGGAGGTTGGCGCGGCTTCTCGTGGCCCTCACGGCCGATGCAGCACACTGTGCCCATTCTTCGAAGAACGAAAGTTTAAAGCCACTGGCCCTGAAGCAAAAGCCTCTCAAGAAAGGAAGATCAGAAGGGAAAAGCCTTGAGAAGCAATCAGGTCTGCGGCTGGCGAAGGGCTGCAAACACTATGAAGACAGGCCTGCAACAGAGCAATAGCCTCAGGCTTTCGAGCTCTCTGAAACCCACCTGACCCAAGAAGTCAAGGCCGCAGGTGGAGTTCAGGTCGAGGCCTCTTGCCAGAAAAGAATTCACAGTTTGGATGAGACGGGACTACCAGTACTGCCATCTTTTGTCATGGGCCTTTCATAGCTGGGAGAATTATGAAGATCTCCAGGACAATGCTGCTCGTGAGCATCAGTGCCTGAGCAGCTTGGAACACTGGGCAAAGCCGATGAGAGACGAAGCTTCTCTGAAGCTGTTTCAAAGCTTTCAGGAAGCACGCAACTCAGCTGATGGTACTTTGGGGCCTCGAGATGGTAACAGCCAGCAGGAGGCAAGACGAATTCCTACATGTTCCCAAATACGAGTTCCATTCTCGAGCTTTTACCTGCCATGCATTTCCGATTTCTACCTGCCCACATGCACAGAAGGCGCCAGCGGCACGCTGAGGCCCAATCCCACAGTAGCAGCACCACAAGATCTGTCTTCAAGAAGTTCTCCCGACAGCCGCGGCCACCTGCGAGGACGGCTAGGCAGGTTATAAATTAGACCTCCTTACAAAAATGTATCAGAGCTCTATAGGGCTACTATAAGGGAACTATAACGCTGAAGGGTCGCACCCAGCCTCGCTCCAGGGGAGAAGATGCGACTCTCTGAAGGCGAGCCCCGGAAAAAACCCGGAATCCTTTAAGGATCTCATCAACCGTTATCCCCGTATGGCGTGGCAAAAGAGGGGCCGGGCCATCTCGCCGTGCATTTTTCCACGGGGTGCCGTAGATGAAGATCGGCCCTTTCCTGGCAACAGACGCAGGACGCAGAGTAGCTACGAGTAGTGCGTGATGCAAAGTACAGAGTGCGTTGCAGTGCGAGTGCATACAGGAGACCTAAAGTCTCCGGCCCTGCTGGACTTGCTCTGCAAGAACTTGAGAGCAGTTGCAAACACCGCACCCCTCGTGCACGACTGTCAAAGTCTGAGCCCTTAAGAGTCTAGGATCTTTGCAGTCCACCGTGCTGATCGTGCTTCAGCTGCTATAGCCGGATGCACATGCTTATCCAACCGGTCATGACCCATCCTCATCCACATCATTCGCCAGCCTTTTCACCATCAACCCTTCGTTTCCTTTTCCCTCGAAGACGCTCCACCCTCGGGTCAGCGGCGTAAAACACATCAGTCCAAAGCTGAGTAGCAGGCCTCAACTGCATGAAGCAGAAAAGGATCACGCGGATCCCCCAGTAGAGCCAGTCTTCCAGGAGCGTGTCTCTGAGATCCTTTCGGTGTTCTAATGGGACTGAGTAAGTAAGGTTATAAGTACCTTAATTGGGGTTATAAGTAAGTATAAGTATAGCTACCTTATTTATTGTGGGGGCTGCTTCCCAAAACCCTAAACCGCTTGGGGGAGGAAAATGGGGGGGGGAGGGCTCCCCCTTTTTTTGCAGCGCAAGGCCAGGATGCCCGGGCCCAAGCGCTCCTCGAAGGTAGCTGCACGCGGGTCTCTGCAGTCTCCAGAGTCCGACTGCCGGCACCTCCATGAGATATACGTATAGTAGATCTACATATATGTATACATATATATATATATATATACCTCTCTCTCTCTAATGAAAAGGGAACTTCGGACTCAAGAAGCGACATCGAAGCCGTCACGATGCGTTGCAGTCGTTTGCTTCCCCAGGGCCCCACTGCTGAAGAGGCACTGCCATGGCTTGATCCTGAACTTGGCGCCCAAGATGAGGAAAGCACCTCGGAAACGCCCAAGAATGCGGGGCGGCACTCCACGGCTCAACACAACTTCCAACAGCTGCCCCCTCCAACCCTGCCTCTGCACCGGAATTGCGGTCTCGCCAATCGGCTGAGGCCGGGACCACCGACCGTGAACATCACCAGGCTCACCATGCGCTTGGCCAGCCACCAAACTCGGCATCCGCCAGATCTACTGTACTTCTACTGTTCATCGTACTGCAGACAGTCATCCGATGCAACATGATGCAACTGTTCGTACAAGGAAGTCGTATCTACTACCTCATCGTACTGACAGACCGGATCACAAAGAGCTTGGTTCCGCACGTCGAGGAACGCCAGGAGATCGCATGCAAAGGGAGGGACAGCAACCTCAAAGTGAAGCCACAGCTGTGACAGGAACCCTGGCTTGGACATCATGTCGACATGCGTGTGCATGCGTCGAGCTGTGTATTAAAACCAATGTTGGCTGCTTGTGAGTTGCTTGTAAAAAACAACTCACAAGCAGCCTACATTGTTTTGAATAAAAACAACTCACAAGCAGCCAACATCGCCTTTGCTATGCAGGCCTTCGGCCACCACGGGGGTTGAACAAGGCTCGATGCCCAAACCGGTACTCGTGAAGCCCCTGTAGCTGAAAAAGCCTGCTGGCTGTCCGCGTCATGACAATCCTATCTGGGGAAATATGGAGGGTTGAAGCGCCGAATTGCACAGCATTCCTGGCCTCACTACGGTCATGGCAACTTTGGAACAAGACTACTCTGACTACACCAAGCTGCTGTCCTTCAAAAGTCCCTGGACTCCAAACCTTTTCTCGCGACTCCTCTGCAGATGCAGCCGTGCGGCGCCCGGGTGACCAGTAGCAGAGTGAGGGCAACCTCTGCCAACCTTGTGGGCTTCAGGTACTAGGAGAAAAGCGTGAAAGCCTCAACCTCTAGTAGATCGAGCTCCGGACAGCAACAGCATGATCTCTGAGCTCTTAGTAGTGAGCAGTAGCACAGGCCCCGGCACGCGTAGCTCAGCGTGATGAGCTCCAGGCAGGCACCCAGGCTAGCATCTGCCTGAATAGATAACAATCATAACTATAACAATAATGGTAATACTAATGGCTTGTAGTGAGTGTGAGAAGTCCCGTAAACAAGTCAGCCCGGAAGCACACAATATGTTTCGACCGTCTTACTTCTTGTAACTAGAAAACCAGTTTTGCAGAAATCGACGACGACTTGCCAGGCTGATATGGACATGGGCATGGAGTCGCGGGCTGTGTCAGCCACAGAAAACATCCCCTGCCAGGTCTTGCGCTCGTTGGTAAGGCTTAGCAGCTACTCCGACAGAATCGAATATTCAACCACCCTCACAGCCGCACAGCAGCCAATCACGATCGGAGTTTTCCGTGACTGCTGCCACGGCGAGCCACATGAGATTCACAGGCACCGGTCGAATGGAGTGCCGAATTCAGTAGGCTGCTCGGTGTCAACTGGACAGACGGTGTGGATGAAGTTGCATGTATTTTCGGCAGTCTTCGGCCGCACTCAAGCACCCGAATTCAACCACACCCGACCAAAGTAAGTGTCCGAGCTCGGGGCGATGGCAGTATATTGGATGAAGTTGACTCTCGCCCACTGTGGCCACAGCCTGGGCTTATCACCGGATCACGGACCACCACGGCTTTAGCTTAAGGAGGCTTCTTGTGCGCACCAACTACCTGCCCAGTTGTCAGGGTATTGGCTAAGGTGCATGTTTTAATCACACGGTGTTCAAAGTCTGGTAAGGACGAGGCTTAGCTTTTTGAACTTGTTGCACAGGTTCAAACTCGACAAAGCACATCACACCCTGTCTCAGTGCATAGTGCAACCATGATGGCCGTAACAAAAGAACAGACCCAGCACGTCTTGGCAGCCGCTCAAAGAGCCGTTGAAGGAGGTGGTGATGTCGCTCCCCAAGCCTGTCGAAACGTGAATGCAGAAGCAGTTATATATTTAATCTCACGCTATTTCTCATACATGCCTTTTTGTCGTAGTGCTATATCTTGGTTTACATTGTCTGAAATTCTCGTAGCTTCCACTACGTTATATTGCCTTTCCTTACCATATGCTACACTACATGACAACACATAACATGGCATTTTGCCTAGGCTTATCATTTCACCGTACCTGAAACTGTGGAACACATTATGACAACATGCTATGATATGTGTGTGTGTATGTATGTAAACATATCTATACATATATGCATATATATATATATGTATACACTGTGACCTGTGATAATGCACAGCAGCAGTGTGTGAAATGTCTTGAAATAAGCTGTACTGCATCGCTTGTACCTCTTATTCTTGCACGATGTAATCCTTGCAGTTTTGGCCAAGCCTGCTCCCAGGTAGATGTACACAGCGACTAGCAGCGACCAAAGCCTGGACTTCAGACATTCAGCTTCGTTCGCGGATATCACTCGAGAGTTCAAGAGTCCTGGGGCATCGCGAACAGACCTGCTAAGTCATTCGTTACTGCGAGCTGAAAGAAACTTGAAAGGATCATTCTCTGCACAAGTATCTTCTTGGTGGGCCTTGCCTGTACTTTGGTGCAACACTTCGGCACCTGCAGGATGCGATGGCGCCATCTCTCCGGGGCTCGGACTTGAGGATCAGTGGCACCCGGTAGCAAATGAGAAAGTCGATCACGACCTGGAAGTCCGTCTTACACGGACTGAGGAGTGCGCTGTCCTACAGAAGTACCAAGCGTTCGGCCCAAAGACTGCTTGGCTCTTTGAACCTGACACTTACAGGAAAGGAGCGCCGAAGCATGGCCCATGTACAGGCGCCAAGAATGGGGGAGACTCTGAAAAAGTGACAACAAAAGAAGGCCGGCAGTGCGTCTTTCCAACATCCTCGCGGCACTGGATGCCACCTCGGTTCTGGGTTCTGAGGACCAAGAGAGCCAACGATCTGGGAGGTGCGTCTCGAAGCATCTCAAGGCTTGCGAGGAACATTCGTTGATGTCGTCGAAGTTGATGCCGAGCTCTCTCCAGCCGCTTGGCATCCTGAAGTTGGGAATGGCCCTCTCAGGGCTACAGTCCTCGGGTCTGGAAAAGCGGCGACTGAGCCCATGGCAGCTTTCGTGAAACCGGATTCGAGTGACGCGCCATCTTCTCAAGACCATCCTGAACTCAGAAATCCGCGAGCTGCGAGTACGCAGACAGGCGTCTTCGCCTCCGCTTACTTGTCTCGAAGAGTGCACTGCACGTGGCACCCCCTGCGGTCCGGTCTTCCCCTTGTGCCTGCAGCGTCTCCAGATCGATCTGAAACACGACCTCTCGGCACGGGCCGTCGCTGGACTGTGCCAGGAGCCCCACCTCGAAGGGGTACGGCTTGGGCTTCGAGTTTCCTCGAGTTTATGAGACTTCAGGGTTCAGGGCAGGTTTGGGGGACCCCCCAGTTTACCGCACCTGCTCCTGGGAGGCCATCAAGATCTTGAAGAACAAGAAGGCCAACCTCTCTGGGCCTTGGTCACTGCAACGTGCCTGGTGCTGCCAAACCGAACGCGAGTAGCACAAACACCCCATCTGTTCGTTTCGGTTGTACTGCCGTGCTGCATTCATCCACCCACGAGGTCTGCTAGCACGGCCTCAGGCCCCCCCTCTCCCCGGGCTTTTTCGCGACCCGACACGCAGCTTGTGAGATAGTGAAACTCTCAGGTCCAACAGGGCCGGATATGGTGGGTGCACCGCCCTGCCCGCGGGACGTCGCGGGACGACCTGGCACACTACCCCGCAAATTCTGAGCTTGAAACGTAAACTTCAGGCAGCTGAGGTGCCACGTCAGGAGAGTTCCCCAACATCACCAGGTTTGAACAGCTAGGTGGTTTGTCTTACAGATGTTGCCATCAAGGCCCGCAACTTAGCATCTACTGGTTCTGACTTTATACACCTCTCTCGAGCAAGATGGGCTCCACTCCTGAAAAAACGGGGCGCGAGTCCTCGGCCACCTGGGCTAGGCGCCTATAGACGGCTTAATTAGACCTGCATGAAGCCGAACATGCACTTCTTCTGGCCACCGCGAGATTTACATCCAACATTGTACATGCTAGTCGTGTCAGCACCTGTCCAATATTGGTAAACGTTTCCGGAATGCCTGGTAAAGAACCAGTAGTCCGCGCCATCACCCTGGCCGATTGTGGACGGATCAATGACGGTCGCACCCGCGCTGCTGGCCATGTGCACACACTCATCATAGTAAAGCTCGCCAGCATCATGGTACCACCAAGTGTCTCCGTCAAACTCGGCCTTCTCTGAGCAAATGGATCTGTCCATCATTGTCACCCGGTCAAGCTTGCCAACGACGCACTTTGCCGTGTCCGTGATGGGTGTGAACTTCACCGAATAAAAGCGCTCAAACTGCTCAGCTTCGTTGCCGTGCCGATGTCCCCCCCATCCGCCCTTGTCGGTGTAATCTTCCGAACAAAGGGTTGCACCGAGCCTTGAAGCTTCTTGCATGCAGGCTTTCCAGGTCAGGGACCCGAGATCTGTGTAGGTGAAGCAGGTCTGCCCACCTTCCTCCTGCGGACCGTGGCACTTTGTATTGCAAGCGTCGTTCTGGCCAGTAGTGCAAGCACAAGTGGATGCAAAGTCTATAAATGGGTGATTGACTGGAGGCCCATGCGGCGGCCCCGAGCCTTGCGAGACTTGCGAGCTCTGGTCACAAGTGGCATCTGCTGCTAACACGACTTCCCCTGCACGGAGGTCGATGCTGTTGCCACCGTCGCTGCTCAAGCTGCAACTGTCTGATTGCTTTCCATTGTGCAGCCTGCAGGTCAGGTACTTCAGAAGATTGATGTTGTCATGCACCAAGCGGCTGCTGCTGTTCACCTTGGCTGACAGTTCTTGCACTTCTATCAACCTGCACCAACGCCGTGTTCACACTAGCAGCCACAAGTACCACAAGCACCAAAGATCCACACTGACATGGAGTCACGGTGGTCACCAGGCTGTCGTGCTGTTCCTTCACGAGGCATTCGCAACTGGAATAGAGCGCCAGCGCTGCGTCCTTTGCATCCTGAAGGCTCTGGTTAGCAAGCGTCTCCTTGGCGGGAGCCGGGGCCTTTAAACCTCTGAAAGCGTACAGTCCTAGACTCCTAGAGAGTCCTACATCATCCTAGAGAGCCCAACGCCCTCCTCGCGGGAACCGAGGCGCCTCATTCACAGCCGTGACGACCGTGTTCAGATGGGAGATGTACTGCGAGACCTACCGAGGGTTTGGCAAGTCGGCCTTAAAAGATGTTTGGGTCCAAGGGACTGGGAGCTGCGCGCCTTGGAATCGATGAGGCCTTTCAGTCGAGTGCCCTCCGCGTTCGCCTCGTCGGCCGTCGATCCCAGGTTTCCGCTGACGGTGATCGTTGAGTTTGTCTCCGAGCGGAGCTGCAAAGTGTTAGCCATGGCAACAGACTGGGCGTTGACCAATGCCTGGTCCAGCTTTAGGTGATCGGCACAGCTCGCAAAGGAATCCACGGATGCATTGATGGATGCCTGGGATTCCGTCAACTCGCCGAGGAGCTTTTGGATGAGGTCGTTGATCAAGGTGTGCAGGTCAATCGTTCCGTTCTTCATGATCTCCGTGTGGTTACGACTCTCGCCCACGTAGGACGCAAGCTCATGGCCATACTTGCGCAGCAGTGCAAGTTTGGCACCACTGGTAGGCTCCTGGTGGATGCGACCCAGCAGGCTCTCAACGTCGAAGCCTTTCGCGGATGTGTCGCAGGTGGCCGTCGTCGAAGCGATGCAAGATTGTGCCTTCATGTCCTCGCCGTGCTTCTGCACGTGACGCTGGATCATGCTGGCACTCTTCACCTCACAATGCTCGCAGTCGAGGACTGCGAGGGCCATGGGCAGTACGAGAGGAATAAGATACAGCATCTCAGCTGAGTTCCCGAAGGAGCTGAAGCTAAGAAGGGCTCTGAAAGCGCTGCAGCGCCGAGTTTGCGGAGCAACAACGGCCAAGGCCACCCGGAGTGCAATGCTCAGAACACGGAGCCTGCGCCCTTATGCAAGCATGCTGCTCCTGCAGGGCCTGGAGATGCCGTGTCCAGTCAAGCTGTTCTCATTTTGGCCGGGGACTGAGACTAGCAGCTAGGGTTGGCAGGGGCAGGCAAGGGCAAAGAGAAGAGCAAGCCTGCGAGGCAGGTGACAGGGGAAATGGAGACATCTGCAAAAAGAGGGAGGCGGAACGAGATACTTGAAACACCAGGCAGGTATCGGCTGGATGAACGGCTGTGCCCACAGGAAGTAAGAAAGTCGGGAAGCCAGTCTCTTCAAGGTTGGATCATGTGAGAAAAGCTCCAGGGCTTGCGCAGTGCATGATCTGCTCACTCAGGGACTCCATGGTCCGCAAGAGAAGGGCCTGCAAGAGCACTGCGCGGTCTGCTGAAACCCTTCCTTGGATAGTTACATATGTAAATATGTATATCTGTATATATGTAAAAATATATGTATATAACATGTATGTGTTTACATACAAGCATGTAAGTATATGTAAGTATATGTATTTTTTATAGAGGCCAGCTTACGTGCCACGTTCACTGGGCGGCACCTCTGCGAACAGCACCAGCAGAGGGCGAGCGTCGTTCTTCTCGATGCTGCTGGCAACCTCCTGAGCTGCTGGTAGCCCGAAGAACCCTCCGCGGACCCTTATCATCTATCTACAAGTGACTTATCACCTCTGAATCTCGGAAACCCGCCACGATGCCAGCAGGTCAGTTGATTAATTTCCTTCGATTTCGTGTCCTGCAGTTCGCCCCGCTGGAGATTGGCCAGCCAAACACCGTTGGAGACGTAGCCGCACCTCGGACGCTCAGACTTCAAAAGGTCTGCTGGCGGATGTGAGAGCGTGCATTGGCTGCGGAGGCCGAGGGCGAGTAGTTTCCCTTGGGGTTCACGCAGCGTGGGTTGCAGGCATTTCGGGCGTCCTGCCGGAAACGCCAGGGAAACCCGTCGCAGCACGACACTCACGCAAAGACCCCTTGCGAAAGATATCAATCCCGGTAGCGGCAACGTCTCATATCACCTCCCCTGCCACTGGAGACCCGGATCAGTGCTGCCCCGCTTGCAAGCTATCAAACCACACATCTCGTCATTCACTAGCATGAGAAGTTGCAGGGGCTCCCGGCCACGCAGCGACACCCTCAAGGACGCGCTTGTGAACCTCCGGTCCAGAGTCTACAGGAACCTCCCGAATGTCAGTTCCTCCGAGCCACTACATGCTCCAGTTGCAGCAGCCGTTGCTTCCCGCCGAGCAGCTATGATCAGCGCATTCTCCAACTCATCCCCTGCCAAGAAAGCAAAGATTATGGAATTATGGGGGCACGGGATGATTTGAAATGCACGCAAACAAGGTCGCACTCTCTGACACTACGACCGCACTCATGGCCGGCATCGTATTTTTATGTCTCGCTTGGACGGAGCAGCATTGAAGGTGACACCTACAGCATGTCTCAAGACGACGAGACACATAACATGGCTCGATATTTTCGTGCTGCATACACAAACCCAGCTGCACTTCATCAAGAGACACTGCCTCCAGCAGTGACATAGTCTGGACCGTCCTGGACCACGTAGTGGCAAAATGTAAAGCACTTCACGACGATGCGCCGCACAAGCAAAACTGCAGGCACGTGTCCTCGATGTCGCTGATCTCGCTAGTCTCTTCATCGCTGTCCTCCTCTCGTGCCCTGCCAGGCTCGGACGTACCAAATCCCTGTTGTTTACATCCTGCAAGTGGTATGGTCCAAAGTAAACTCAGTAGAAGCTGCCTGCCTCCTTTGGGTCATCTTGGCGCGGGTTCTCAAAGCCCGCAGTGCTAAAACCTCTGCCTGTCACATCTCGCAACAAAGCACAGAAGCTCAGTCAACAGTCTTGCTCACTTGTCGGACGTTGAGGGGCAGTTGATCTCGCTTGACACTGCTCTCTTTACACTCCTGACACACGACCGTGCACAGTAAGCGCAGGTCATCAGACTGTGTGCCTGTTAGCCAGTCGTTTCTCGGGTCCGTTTGTTGCAGGACTAAACGCTTGCAACTCCCTTGCCTCCTTTCCCCTGAACAGCAGGCCCTTTTGTCGGACCGCGCCTGGATCTGTTTCTCTAGGATTCTCTGCTGTACCTTGCGAGTCACAGACGCCAATAGCAGACTTCCTCATCGGGTCCTTCTGCCTGCCTGCGATCTTGAACGAACATTCGTGTCCCTAGATTTTACATCATGAACCTTGAGGTCACTCGTCGTGCAACACTTTCTAGGTGCCCTGCTCCCATGTGGCAGCGCAACCGCCACGCGGCCTTGTCTATGGCAAACAAGGACAACAAAGCATCAGCAGAAGCAGAGACTGAAACTCTGAAGCCTTATTCGCCCATTCAGCTCCTAGGCTTTGGAGAAAAAGTAAGACAACCTTGGGAGGATGCCTCGTCGTCGGTTGGTATTCTGCTTGAGGACAGCCTGAGCGGCCCATCACGAGGAAAGCATGCTCGTTGAACAAGCTTCCTTGCATGACGTAGGTGATATGGAGCTCTGCAAACGCCATTCCTTTGTGATGGCATAGCGCAATTGTAGACCGCAGCCGCAACGTGATTGCGACATGATTCCGGCATGACAAACCTCGCTGCCGAGCCGCTCAATTTTGTAGATGACGCGCTCATCTCTAAACTTGGCCTCCCAGCATGTGCACGAACACGCGGCAGCGGTTCTACGGCTATTCTACAGTTGGAAAACATGTCAACGTGTTTCCGCAGATCCAACCAGTGCTGGCATGTGCTGGCCTCTGTTGGCTGGATCTGCACAGCTCCTGGGGGCGAATCGAAGTTTGAAGTCGATTTGAGCCCAGAAGGTTCACACTCAGGATTCCCTTCTCTTGCATTCACACCAGGTGTGGAGCCAATCGGTGCAGGACGCAAGCGGAAGTGCACACAGCTAAGACCACAAATGCTGAAGGAGGCGCCTGCAACTTGCTTGCCTGCCATCGTTCAGCGCAACGAAAGCATGTCGCAGGAAAGTCTGAGCATCGTTGATCATCTCAGGCTTGAGCTGCTAAGGGTGACGAGCCTACTGGGTCTACGGAGTCTACGGCACAAGGGGAACGGAAGACTTGGTGCAGAGCAAGACATTTCCCCAAGGCCTCCGGCGGAGTCGGCATGCAACCTCCCCGACTTCTACACTCCACTCTACCAGAAATGACGGGATGCTGCTGGGTGGATGTACGATGTATGCAAAGTGTCGTGATCGCGACGTACGAGCAATCAACTCCGGGCCCAGCACCTTATCGCCTCCTCTGGCGCGGATCCTGGCTGCATAATTCATGAATTTCGCGATGACGGACCTGAGCTTAGGGGTCCAGCAATCTGCCCAGGCTTTTGCTTCACAGATGGAGGCGACTCCCTGCCACCTTCCCACAATCTCTTGAAAGGCCGAACCTGATGGTTGGCCTTGTCTGTGAACGGGACGGGGGCTGCATGAATGCTAAGGGGGATATGATGAGAGCGAGAAGAATTGACGGATGTCCTCCGCTGCGAGACCTCCGCGCCGATCTAGAGGAGCCTTGACTGCAAAGAACGGATTCCCGCTTCTGTGAGATGTTTCGTTTCACAGGGTGCCGCGGCGCCACGACACGGCTGCGACTCGGGACCCTGCTCTTGGAGCAGCATCCACACCTGCAGCGCTTGGCACGCCTACATCGTTACTCGAGAAAGTCATCAGCAACCTCTGTCAGGGCTCTATGTTAAGACTGCTCAACCTCAATGTTCAACCTCAATCCACCTCAAAACCTTCTAAACGAGCATCCTGAAAACCCAAACCGCCTCATCCTTGTCAACCAACTCAACCGCAGAGCTCCGCACAACCCCAACCCACCACCGCAAAACCTCGAAGAAGCTCTGCCCCCTGGGGCTTCGGCCCGCAGCAGATGAAGCCCACGGCGGACAGAAGTGCGAGGCCCAAGAGGGCTCCGAAGGCTCCGAGGAAGGCCTCGGGAGCAAAACGAAAAGTCAACCACCCCCAGGAGTAAGAAGCCCTAAAAAAAAGTAACCCTAGCATAATGTAGCAACCCCGTTACATAATATAGTAACCCTAGTATACTGTACTGACCCTTATATACTGTAGTAGCCCTGATATAGTAACCCCTTGTACGCTGTCGCTACGAGCGTCTGTCTAAGGACTTCCGTGTGGCAAAGAGAGGCCGAGGCGAGGATGCCAACGCTGGGCCACAGCCAGCGGCACTCCAAAGGCAATCGACCTCAGGGGCGCTCCGAAGGGGAGTCGAAGATCGCGGCGAGGCTTCATGATGAGGCCTCACTTTGCGGCTACTTTGGCCGTTTCTCGCCTAGCCTGCTCTGTTTTCTTTCATAATCTTCTGACTGCACTTCGCTACGACCCTTGAAGCTGGCCTTCGGAGACATCTTGCGCAGATGCATTGAAGGTGAAGGCATCCTGGCAAGCGAAACTACGCATGCGTCCCACACAAACTCTCTGCCATACCCGGGTCTTCAAACAAATGAGTATGAGGAAAGGAAACATGCAGCAGCGAAAACCCGGACTCCGCATACTCCAGCAAACTGGGTATGACCCCCATTCCCGTCCTTCCGCAGCCGCGGCGCAGAGCAGTGACGCAGAAACTGGCTGGTGGCACTAACCTGGACGCATCATCCACTGCGATGAAACTTCATGCAGGGCATTCCAGGCCTGACCGAAGAACTCCGGGTAGACGTAGCCTTTGCCTCGTGATTCAACGCGGCGGCCCAAGTACAAGTTACTGGGCTCAGTAGCTCTGCTGGGTCTCCTGGAAGATTCTGGATTTGCGAAAACGAAACGACATGCTTGGCCAGGGATGACCACTGCAGGCTTGTCATGACTACAACTCCTAGGGCTGTCTCGGGTGCAGACGCACGGGCCGCTTACACCGGCCCACATCCTCAGCTGCCAGGTTCCAAGGTGACGTCGAGTCTTAGCTCGTTGGCATGGTGGACCAAAAATATCTTGGCCGAAACACGTGGCTGAAGCGCCCTCCCCACTCGCAGCTCACCTTCATGGCCTCGGAAAAGAGAAGCATTGCCGAGGGCACTGCCAACAGTCATGCAACTCACCAAGAGGCTTCGCTGGGTCCCGTGCATGCAACGTGTCCATGGCCAGGAAGAACGGCCCGCGCTTACCGCGGTCCCAGTCGTCCTGCCACTCATCCTGGCGAGCGGCACAGTTCCAAAAGTCTAAGACGGCCTTCACACCAAAAGCCGAGCAACACAAAGCACTCATGCTGCAGCAGTGGGCGAAAGGTTCTAGGTCATCTGCCCTGTCAGAGTTTCATTAGACCTGCCTCCGTCCTATCTGATAAGATGCAACGCACAACTCTTGCAGCAGGCCTGATCGGGCCGAGCAAGCTTTTTGGTCCGCGGGCTTGTAGCCAATGGTGCACAGGTTCTCTAGAGACAATGAAAAGTCTCGGCACACCCTGCAAGCCCTCCAAACAAATAAGGTGATGTGACTCTCACACCAATTGACAACAGGAAAGTGCCCAAACACCACCAACCTTTGCAGGGTGTGCCGAGGCTGCACTGCTGAAAACCTACCAAGGCACAAATTTCTCTTACAATTACAGCTTCGTCATGATGCTCGAGTGTCGTCTTCGCGTTTCCTGTGGCAGCATGGCCCCGACTCAACAGGAGACATGTGTAAACCCCAATCTTAGAGTCATGTTCTCCTACTCCCACTCGCACTACTACTGCTACTACGACTACTACTACTACTACTACTACTACTACTACTACTACTACTACTACTACTACTACTACTACTACTACTACTACTACTACCTACTACTACTACTACTACTACTACTACTTCTCCTGCTACTACTACTAGTACTACTACTACTACTACTGCTGCTGCTACTACTACTACTACTACTGCTACTAAGGGTTTCGGCCGGAGACTCAGCCAGAAGATAAGGGCCTCTTCGTGCAATGGGAGGACAGTGCCTGGTAAGACTTTTTCTGCTTGGTCTCAGCACTTACCCTGCAATCATCGGCTTGGTCGGCTCTGGTCAGCGCTGGTCCCAAATCCGGCGGCCGGGCATGAGAGCAGCTGCTACATATGAACAAGCTGGCCCGGTAAACCCGAGGGTTCGGTCGAGTACCACCGCAGACCGAGGAGTCTCAGTTGCCCCTGGCACTGAGGCGAAACTATCTGGACCCCGGACAACGAACACGCCATACAGTCGGACTCAGAAGCGATCTCATACAAACGGGCACAAAATACAGCTGCCAGAGATGGATGGGTCCGATATAGAGGAAGATGGCTCACGGCAAACGATATGGGAGTGGCCAGGACTGCCGCATCGTCCTCTGCAAAGGACCGACCGCCAAACTTCCCGCCACCGCATATCACGGGAGGCGCGTCTACAGAAAGGCTACGCGTACTGACGTACAACGTGGGCGGAATGGCTTCAGACCTTTACGATGTCTTTGCGCAGTGGCTTAAGAGCCAAACACAGGCGGAGATTGTTTTTCTGCAAGAGCTGCACTGGGGATGTGGGCGTACAGAGGGCAGCTGGAAAATCGACGGCTGGCAAATCATTGTTTCAGCGGACCCTCACAACCGATACAGCGGGGTCGGCATCTGCATACACCCCAAACTGGTGGCCACGTCGGAGATCACCCAAGTGGTCTGCATACCTGGCAGGATCCTACACGTACAATGCAAGCAAACGGACAAGACCTTGGATCTGGTCTCAGTGTATCAATGGGTCTGGCAGGCACACAAGCAAGCAGAGATCGAGGCCAAAAGACAGCGAGTCTGGACGGCCTTGGGCAACATGCTGCAGCGCCTGCCACAAAGGCACCTTCTGATTATTGGAGCAGACCTCAACTCCAAGTGCTGCTCCATTCCTGGCCTGGTTGGACGTGGACTCTTGAAACAGGCACGGCAACACGCTGATCCGGAACTTGCGGAACTCTTGACGGGAAACTCGCTGGTTATGGCAAACAGCTGGGGCAGTGCAAGACCGGCACAGAGCCACACCTTCAGCAACGGCGACCATAGATCGCAGCTGGATTTTATACTGGTCAGGCGAGGGGTTGCAGATCGACTCACGAAGGAGGCCAGGCCAATCCATCTGGACCTTGCTCCTTGGCGTCGTGGACCGAAGCACCGACCTGTGGCTGCGTCAGTTCCTTTCCTTGCAGGCTGGTGTTTCAAAAAAAGGGCCACCGCCCCCCGAGGACCGGAATACTCCCTGCGTGATCTTAGACAACATGTCGTGGATAATACTTCGCTTGCGCAAACTCTGAAGCAACAGGTTGAGGCGCTGGTAGCTGCCTCTGACCCGACCCAGGACCTGCTGCACCTTAACACCCAAATCCTGAAGCTCTGCAAACAACTCTTTCCTAAAAAACCCAACAGCCATAAACTCCCAAGTCGCGACCCCGGAACTGCTGCCGCTATCACGCACATGTGGCAGGCCCATGAAAACCTTCGGGCACCCCGGCCGGTAGGGCAGTTTGCGAGAGCCTCCGTAGCTGTGCAGCGACAACTTGCTTTCGAGGATGCGCATAGGTCTGTCAAGAAATCTGGTAAACGCGCTAGACGGCAATGGCTCGAATCCCAAATCGAACGAGCTGAGATTGCTGCCCAAAAGCATGACCAGGCTGAGGTCTATAGGGTTGTCTCTCTGCTCGCACCCAGAAAGCAAACCTCCTCTGTATATGTGAAGTCCCCCGAGGGGCACCTTCTGAGCAGTTCGGAACAGTTTCAGGCCATCTACGACTACTTTAGCAAGGCTTTCAGTAGGTCACAGGATTTTCAGTGTCCCCCCCTATCGACTCCCATCACCTACGACGAAGAGACCATCAAATCCGCCATCTCTCGACTAAAACTTGGCAAAGCTGTTCCGAAGCTAAGTGTGCCAGCCGAGATCTGGAGATTGTGCCCAGATGCGATGGCTCGCAAGTTTTGCAGCCTGCTCGAGATTAGTCAGGCTGGTGGCCAAAGACTGCCAGAGCAGGTCACCGACTGCAGCCTGGCGCTGCTGCCAAAGCCTAACAAGGCAGGCAGGCAGCCACAGGACCTCCGCCCCATAGGACTCCAAGACCCTAGTTCTAAGGTTCTAGCCACCCTGATTAGGGATCAGGTAGTCGAGCAAGCAGGGTCCACTCTTCGGCAATGCCCACAGTTTGCATACAGCCAAAATCGATCCATTGAGGAAGCCATAGCCAGGGTGTCAATGCACTGCCGCAGAGTTCGCCAGGCCTTAAAGGACTCCGTGGTTAGTGTCAGCCAGAAGCGCGCAGGGCGGAGTGAAGCCACCTGTGTAGGAGGGTTGATGATAAGCCTCGACCTCAGCCGTGCCTTTGACACCTTACCCCGGCACATCCTGCAAACTGCACTCGCGTACGTGGGAGTAGGCGAGCCTTTGCAAGAACTCATCCTCAACATACGTGAACAGTGCAAGTACAGCGTTCAGCACGGAGGGAAGACCGGCCAATTCCCCATGGAATGTGGGGTGAGACAAGGGTGTGCACTCTCCCCAACGCTGTATGCTGCCTTCACTGTATGGTTCCACAGCGTCCTTAGTGCTCGAACGACCAAGGAATGGGCAGATAACCTTGTCACGCTATATGCAGATGACTCTCACCTTGCCTGGGAGATAAACACTATAGCCGAACTAGGTTTCGTAAAGAGATGCGTGCAAGCCACTTTTCAGCTTTTCAGTGAATGCAGCATGACCGTAAATGCCTCCAAATCCACGGCTGTAGTCTCTCTGCGAGGCAGCGCGGCCCACCGATGGCTACGATGCAACAGCCAGAAAGTGCAAAATCAGCCCTATATTAACTTTGGCAGCCCGCACCAACCCATCTGGATCCCTAGAACCCATAGCATGGTCTATCTAGGCATCGTTGCATCGTACGCCGGGTTTGAGCTGCAGACGCTGCGACACCGATTGCGTAGTGGTGCCCAAGCCAGGCAACGGCTGGCCAGGTTGCTGCACTCCAATGTTCTGAGCTTGCGATACCGGCTACGACTCTACAGCTCTTGTGTCAAAAGCACCATCCTATATGGATTACACTCTGTCGGTGTGACCACGACGGTGCTGCAACGCTTGGAATCCTGGGATGCTCGCGCACTGCGCGCTATCGCCCGCTCACCTGTGCATCTTACGCGGGAATCCAACCAAGCCTTTAGACACCGCCTTAAGGTTGACTCTCCCACTAGCACACTGCATAAGCTTCTTAAGAACAGGGTTGCGAAGATAGGGGAGCCTTGCTGCCTACAGCTGTTCACGGAGCAACTGCGTTTCCTGCACGAGATGGACAGTGCGGCCACAGCCGCCACCGGCCGATCAAGCGTAGTGCCAATCACTCCCGTGGAAGGTGAATCATGCTACATATGTGGTCAATACTTCCCCAACCGGCGCATTCTCTTAGCCCATCTTTCCCGTAAGCACCCCGAACACATCCCTCCCAGTAAGCCTCCCGGAACCGACAATCGCCAGTACACTGCCCATACGGTTGATGGCATGCCTAAATGTAGGCACTGTGGGGCTGAATTTAAACGTGTTGAAGGGCTAAAGAAACACCTCAAAGGAGCGTGCACGGTGCTTTTCCCGTCGGGCCGTCCTGTGCCAGAGGCGGGCTCTGCCAGTGAGCAGGGAACACAGGCACTTCCCTCTCACGAGGGGTTGCTAGGTCGCACCCCTCAGGCGGAGCCCAGCCAGCCACTTTTGGAAGAGCCGGATTTTCAGGCCTCGTGTAAACGGAACTGGAAGGAAGTTTTCCGTACGCCGAGATATGCCCTAAAGCTGAAAAATTACTGTGCCATCTGCAATCAGTGGATTTCCATGAAAGGACCAGGCACAAAGCAGCACATCCGGCTCATGCACAAGGAACATGCAGAGCTCCATGCCGAAGCAGTGGCTCGCCAAACCACGATAGGTCTCGTAGGCCTCAGCCCTTGCCGGTACTGCGCGGAAGAGTACAAGAACCCACGTGCGCACCTCAAACACTGTCCTGCCCTGTACCAAGCCAATCTGTGTGGCCTCATTCTTCGTGCCCAGGCGAATCACGCAGCAGATGACCGAGGACGCGCAGCCGAGCCTAGCGGCCAAGGAGGTCACGGAGTTTTTCGGGGGGAAGAAGGACGGCGACCAGGAAGCAATGGAAGCGGAGGAAAGCTGGGACCAAGAGGGACGGAAGCCCAAGTGGAGGAAGCCAGAATGGGGTCAGGGCAAGGGCTCACACTGGTGGGGAGGAGCCCAGAAGCGCGGCTGGGAGGCTGCTCAGAGCTCCGGACAGACGGAGTCAGCCATGGACTCCCAGACGGTGGAGCTACTCAAGGCTCTTACCAAGCTCTCGCTGAAGCACGAGGCCGAGTTAGGCCGACTGCGTCCCGACCTGGGCTTCATGGCTTTTTTCGACGTCAGCGACCACGGCTACCTGTCCCAACTTCGGGCTACTGCACTGGACTGGCAGGAGAAATGCGAGCAGGGCCTCGTGAAAAGCCCACTCCGACACATCCTGTTCATTTTCTTGATCCGCGAGTTCCGCACCCGCCTCCAGGCCTTGATGAACGACGAGGAGAAACTTCAGAAGGCCCACACCATGGAGTGGCTGGTCGAGGGCAACACAGCCCTCAATCCCCGCTGGCAGTACTTTCAGTGGAACCCCACACTGAAAGCACAGGAGGTGGCGAAGGACACGCCTCCGATCGGCCATATGGACCTGCTCTCCCAGCTGGACATCCTGGAGCAGCACGTGACCACGGGCAACAACCTTACCCGGTTCCAGGCCGTCAGAGGGCTGGAAGAGGAGTCCCAAAACGAGGTGGAACCCTTCATGATTTCTTTCGGGTTCAGAGACCCGACGTCACACCAATGCCACGCGGCCATGACTCGCATCAGCGGCTGCGCGGCCACCAAGATCTTGGGATTCCGGGTGAGGCCAGAGCGAGCTGCTCGTCAGCCGCGCGCGAAGCTGGTCGCAGATGCATATCTTCAGACGAAGTACTGCGACTGGAAGCCCAGCAAGCCACGGGGCCAGCGCCAGACACAGGCCGCCAACAAATAGAGGCCACGCAGTGCACAGTGCATGATGCAGTCAGGATGCGAGCACATGGGACCCCGCAGCTCCCAGTAGCACCCCTACAAAATCCTAGCCAACAATGCTACATTAACAGCTTCATGCAGGCCCTCAGCTGGATTGGCGAGCTCACAGGATCACCGGCCGCCTGCCAAGGCCTATGCAAGGCGGGCCTGCAACCATTGCTTGCCAAAACTCCCCTGATGATCACCTCCCAACTGCACTGGCACCGCCTATTCCGAGAGTGGCCTAGGCCTAATCAACAGCATGATGTGTGTGCTTTCGCCAGCTTCGTTATACATCGCATCAAAGCTGGGGCCTATCAGGGTCGATGGGAAGCTCGGCAACCCGGCACGGCAGTGTGCAATGACGCAGGTGACTTGACCTCACCGATCCGCCTACGCCTTTTCCCGGGAGGCCTGCAAGCCATGATTGACGACTGGCACCAGCAGAATGCCACACATGCCCTAGTCTGTCACACAGGTGTGCTACTGATACAACTCAGCCGGTACTCCACGGACGATAGACCCAGTAAGGACCTTACACCCATCCCACTGCATCCTGGACAGGTGTTGCGGATACCCGTCTTCTGCAGTGACGCGGGAACTGCAGTGCGTTATGAGGACTTCGTGATAGGAGTTGTCATCCTACATCTAGGACAGAGGGTCAAGGAAGGACACTACCAAGCCTATCTAGGTCATCCGGTACCATTACGACCCGCCCTTCCCTGGATAGAGTACCTCTGCGACGACTGCAAGCCCCCGCGTAGAGCCAATGCCCAAGATAGGATGCAAATGCAGACCAACTCCTATCTTGTGGTGCTTATACGCTGTTAGCCCGGATCGCGGAGGGCAGCATAGGTCACTGCCCTCAGCACGGCTAGGTCGCCGTGCAACGCGTTACCGACCTGAGTTCCATGGTGGCCTCGGTTGAAGCACCGATGGCCCGCACAGCTGACATCCCGAATGCAGCCCGTCAACATGTATCTATACTTAAAGCCAAGTTTTTCTGTTTCAATGCCTGTCGCTTGATGCTGCCACTTGCAAATCCGACGATGACACAACGGTCCTGCACAGCCTATACACCTGGGTAGCTGCCTAGCTCAAACATAAGCCTATAGGGAGCCACTCCCTAGTCTCCGTGTGCCTAGTGGCCGGCCCCTCAGCGAAAGCCTGCATAATGCACAGTCGAGAAGAGCTCCGTCTGCAGAGTCCGATGAAACACACAGCAACCGGCTCCAGTTCTAGGGTAGCCGCCTGGCTCATCACTGCTGCACTGGTTGTGGCTTCTTGTAGCTGCAGCTGCGGGGGTTCCCACCAGACGCATGGCCCAGCAGTTCCAGCTCCCGTGGGATGTCTATCAAGACTCCCTAGCCGAGCACCTCTTGCGGGGAGCGTACAGCAGCCTGATGTTGCGACATACAGGACAGCCTGCCCTCCCTATAGTGGACATGGAGCCTTCAATGACATACTGGCGCACGCTGCCACGGAACTACCGGCAGACAAGCTCCAGCAGCTGCACCAATATGCAGGCCAGCTGTGTGATGCTATGCCAGCCCTTCATGGACCCAGAATGCCTCCTGCGATGCCATTGCCTCCCACACCGATACCACCCGCTGAACAGTTTGCGCACGATACGCTGGGCGATGGAGGGCATGAAGGATCTCTCTGGAGCGCAGTCCGCCAGGCAATCCTGCTACTCAACTTTGAGAAGGCCAGGCATGGCAAACTTAGTGAACAATTCCATGCCAGAAGCTTCACGGTGGGCGCGTTCTCCAAACACGCCTTCGTGGGGATATGCCGGGGCACACTGCGATACCCGAGCCTGTGTCGGCTCCTGAATCGCCTCGTCATCCACGTGCTACCACATCATTCCTGGACGAGCGTGGTGCTTCACCTCAACTGTCTGTTCCCGCCTCACAAAGACAGTGGCAGCGGGCCCACCCCGAATGCGGTGATAGCCCTCACACACTTCGAAGGCGGCGACCTATGGGTTCAAACTGCTGACGGGGACGACTACCAGGAGATTGACGGGAACCTGGTGCGCGGATGTCTCTACAAGCTGCAAGACTGCGCCACAGTTTTCTCGGTGCAGCCAGCTCCACTGCACAACACAGTGGAGGGGAGGAAACCGCATCACCCTCGTGGCCTACACCGTGAGGAACTACTACTCCCTTGGAGAGCCACTGAGGCACACGCTGGATCAGCTGGGTTTCTGCCCGCCACCGAGGGAGCAACTACCCAAACCACCAGCGGTGCCACTACTGCCGCCGATTCTCTACGACGGAGTCTAGAGCAATGGCATGCCGGGGCTCCTATAGGGTTTCCAGGGATCATTTCCAGGGGTCTCTGCCTCCCCTAACCTTCCCCTGCTGCTAGATGCACCTCTTCCCAAACTGCCTGGTCGTGAATACTCCTCTCACTGAGCCTGCATTTTGCGCCTGAGCTTGAGCTTGAGTTTGAGCCTGAGACCACAGAATAACCACACTGCACTCTCCCATTCCATAAGCTTGGTTCTCCTGAATCTGTACAGCCTGGCCTAGGCTATGGCCAAGCCCTGACCCTATGCCAGGAAAAAGGAAAGGCCAACAGTGAATGCAGACATGAGTGCTGAGTGGCGTCAAAACACATCCACTTGCCGTGCAGCAAGATGCCGTGCACTGCCTGCAAGCCGCAACACCCAACCAGCCCTACGCCCCTCTGCGTTTGAACGCTCAGGTCTGGATGGAATCCTGGCTGGGCATTGGTGGAGGCCGGCTGCGGCACTGCAGTCGTCGAGGGTGCGAGCGGCAATATTCCAAGTTGCATAAGCCCTTCTGCTGCTCCGGATGTGGTAGTGGACAAGGGCATCACACACGTCGCTGTGACCGACATCAGCGGCGACACGCACAGGCGGGCCAGCGGACGGCACGTAGGATGCCAACAGAGTGCCTCAACGACGGCTGTACCAGACAAGCTGGCGTAGGACACTTGACATGCTGCTCCACATGCGCTCCAGGTGGATATGTGCATACCCGGCGCTGCAACCAGGTCATGGGCCGCACGATGCCCACTGGGAACGATGCACCTCAGAGGGCTGCCACACAGCAGCAAAGCCATGATCAGCCGACTGCAAGTCGGGACCCTGAAATGCGGACCAACAGCTCTGGAACGAACGATCGGCCCGCTACAGTATCCCTTGCGCATGGACAGCAGATGATACCAGCTACCGAGAATATGCAGGCTCCGGGCACTGGCACAATGGCCTCATCTTTTTCCTGCCACATGCAGAGCACGGATATGGAGCCCAAGCAGGTCGATCAGCCGGATGCTGAAACTGCAGATGTCGATGCAAGTAGTGTGCAGCATAAAGCTACGAGTCATTTTGTACAGGGCTGTGTTATTGAACTTGACGAGCTTGACTAGGAGGATGCCAGATATGGCAGAGTTGTCCACGGAGCCACAAAAGTGGTGCGGCCTAGAGCCGCCGGATCAAAGGTCCGTCCTTCGTCAGACGCCACGGATCGGCCCGACGAGTGCAATGCAATACTACTGCTACTGCTACTGCTACTGCTACTACTACTACTACTACGACTATTTTCAATTGGACGCGGTGCGAGCGGGCTCAACACGCTGCGGGCGATTGCCGCATGTGCACTCACATTAGTGTGAAACTGACCCTGTGACCCTATTGGTCTGAGAAGTCAAAAGGAGGATCCGGTTGCTGCTAGGCACTGAGCTTCCCAGCCGAAGGATTGAAAACAGTTGGCCAGGTGACTATGCTTGTTGCAGTGGGCAGCTTGCCGCCCCTGATGCCAGCGTGACAGCACATGTGTCTGTAGCAAAGCACTGGAGTCCCTGCAAAGGCACAGTTTTCGTTGTCATGGCATGATGGCGTCGGCAGTTGTGCAAGAAAGCCATCGGCCGGCTTGTGCAGGAAGAAAAGAAGATAAAAGAAGCTGTGTGGCAAGGCAATGCCTCCGCGGTTAGTCATTCTGGCAGCCATTGGCACCGTGTGTAAGCATATCCGTCACTGGCGTCATTGTCGGCTGCACTGTCGGCTGCCACTGGAACCGGAACCGGAGCTGCGTTGCCACCAGCTTCCGCTAGACCAGTGCGGGTCTGACCACGCATCGCCGTGAAGGCCAGGCGGTAGTAATCCCCATGGGCTGTGCGGACTGGCCGTGGCTGGGCTTCCAGCTGAGGGGGGCGATGCAAATCTCCGCCTCGCCCAAAAGCCGTAGTCGATGAGGACAAAGCATGCCGGGTATTGCCTGACCATCACGTTGTCTGCATGAACATCAGCATGCACAATTGCAACATCTGCAGTGCAGCCGAAATGTCGCATTTCAGGCGTTGGACAGTGTCCCAGTCAAGCCCTCTCGGCGCCGGCCAAAGCCGAGGCATGAGTGCTCGATTGCCATCTGCCACATAAACGGTATTGATCACAGAGAGGGGCGGCAGGCGCTGGATTCTGGTCATCTCCTTGCGGAAGTCGGCCTCATGCTCAGCCTTCACCTGCTCAATGACAAAGTTGGGGTCATTGTGGGAGAGGTAGACGGTGCTGGTGAAGCCGCGTCCTACCGTACTCCCCATCGTGCCCCTGATCAGTGAAACACAGGCTGTGGAGGTCGGGCAGGACCAGGGGCGGCCTGTAGCCGGGCAGTTTCTGTTGAAGAGCATAGCCTTGGTACCGCTGCTGAAAGTCTCGGCGACCTTGCCCATCCAACATGGTGAACATGGAGAACATGAGGGCCGCCAGGAGGAAGCCTTGCTGCTCCACCCATCCGGCCACGCCGTGTACCACGGCGTCAGCCGCAGACCGTGGCAGATGTGCTCGCAAGTTGCGGCAGGCGAGACACATGAGCTGCTGCAGACACAACCCTCTGGGCGGGCCGTCCGGTATGTCGATCTGCTCAACCCAGGTCTGGTGATTCTCCGGGACACCTGCGTCGAACAGGCCTCCCAGGATCCCATAGTGCCATAGTCTCTGTGAAGCATCGACGAGTCCTCCTCCTCCAGTCTGGGCATGAACCGGGCATACATTTCTCCCGGCTCCAGTCCTCCAAGGTTGCGCCTTTGCGAGGCCCAGCATTGCGTTGGTTGTGCGTCGGTCCGAGTGGTGATAGCATACGTGGCCCGCATAGTAGTGCATGCACAGCTCCACGAGCGCCCGGTGCGCTGTGGCACCCATGAGCTCCAAGCGCTCCGCGCACCTTTTGGCTCGTTGAGCCTCGGCGCTGGCTTCTGCAGCTCTGGCAGCAGCTTCCGGGTCCACATAGTTCCCAATGTCAGCAGCAGTATCCGTAGTGCCCGTGCCATGGCTCGTGTCATCGAGCTGTCCGCGGGTGTCGCCGGCGGCGACCTTGGCATCTCCGGCCCGAAGGCCCCAAGGAAAAGCGAGATGCCTGATCGAAATCAGCGGCAGCCCTCAAAGGCTCAGACAGCAGGTAGTGGTGCCGAGCACAAGGCGTGTGTGCGAAAAGGCCCTCCCCGCCGAAACTGGAAAAACTTCTTCGGGCCGAGACACTTACTGCTACTACTGCTACTACTGCTAGTACGGCTACTACTGCTACTACGACTACGACTACGACTACGACTACTACTACTACTACTACTACTACTACTACTACTACTACTGCTGCTGCTGCTGCTGCTGCTGCTGCTGCTGCCACCACTACCACAACTCCTACGAACACTACTTAGCCTTCCCTGCCCACCGAGCTACCTACCTCCCTCCTTGCATGCCTGGCTACCTGCGTAGATACCCACCTACTACGACATCGCTACATTACCGGCTTTATGATGTGACTGTACTGCTCTTCTTGTCCATTCCCATCTGTATTTTTATAACCCCGGCTTCTTTCTTGGCATTTGCACAAATCACATTTGCAGTGGCCTCTGCCTCGTCAAACCTCGTCGCTTGCAGCTGCAGCTTCCGGAGAGGTCCTCGGCCGAAGCTGATGGTTCTCTAGGCCCTAGGCCGAGTGACCGCGTGACCTTCCGAGCGCTTCGGAGAGCAAGCCGCGTCGCATGGTCATGCATGAGGGACTGCTGGATGGTGAATCAGCAGCAAACATGGGTTCAGTCCGTGAAGTAGTTTGGGGATGTCCTTCACACTTCACCAGAAAGCTAACCACACACACACACACACACACACACTGGGAACACGAAAAGCGGAGTCCCACATGTGGCTTTCGACAGGCCCCACCACCAGACGGCGCTTTTTGGGACATGTCAGCCGCTTCAGCGCTGAGGAACAGAGGGCCGAGCGGCCGTCTGCTGTCTCTCTTTGGCTCTGCGGGAGGGTGTGGTGGACTCATGTCAGTCGCACTCAAGTTCAAAGGGCCTGCGAGGCCGTCAAGATCCATGGACTGCACAGTTCCGGATCATACACCGTCAGCACTGCTTGGCAGCAAAAGGACATCTGGGAAGTCCCGCTGGAAGAATGGGTCTACACCCTAAAGCCCTACGACTAATGGGCAGACTAAGCACTGCATTTCAGGGCCGGACAAGTTTACTGCCAAGCTAGGAAAGCACCGAGCAGGACAGGCTTTTGCCGAACCTGCCTGTGCACTGAAGCAGCACTGGAAGCCAAAACCAATACACTCTGCTGGCCCTTCTGCAAAGACTTGGCTTCGTCGACTTCGTTTTGGATCCCCGTGCAAAACCCCTGACAGCAAAGAGCTACAAAGGCAACAGACAGCTCAGCGCGAGTTTGTCTCACCAGCGCCCATGAGAGAGAAAAGCCGCAAACGGAAGCAAGACCAACTACTAACTACGATGCTGAGAAAAAGTGTGCACACAAGCGAGTGCCACGCGATGCAATCTCTTCGGCCGGGGAACACAGGCGGAGCTGGTAAACTGGAAGCTGGTGCCAGATGAAGAATTCCGGCCCCAATGGCTGACACTTAGCGTCGCCCGGAGCCCAAAAAGCATGCTTCTTCAAACTTCACTGATTCTACGTGTATACGAACTGACCAAACGTCTAACGGAGTCTAACGTCCTGGCTCTCATCAGACAGGCCTGAGTGCAACCATTCCAGCCTCCGGCCAGAGTGGGAATCACCCAGGATGGAAGTCCTGATATTCAGGCATAAGATGCAGCGGGGGAATGTGCCTCCCATTCAGTCTGAGGTGTTGAAACCATCTCACCCCGCCAATGAATCGAATGTGCTGGCCTCGCAGAAAACGAGCTACTCCGGCGTGTCTGCGATGGAGCTTCCACTTTTAGGGAAGACCTTGCCTGGCGAAAGTGACGAAAAAAAATGTCCCTCTCTGGTCTCGGAAATCGGAAACAGTGAAACGGTCCCGAACATTGGCAAGTACCTCTGGCCTAAGTGCGTCTCGTCCAGCATTGCGCTGCCTGGCGACATGTCTTCCCGCAAACGGCAAGTCAATGACAGCTTGTGGCATCTAATTTTCAGCGTGCTAGCCCGGCAGGTACGGTGTTGGTCAAGCACGTCACCGACCCGTGGATAAGTAGGCCTGTTAGCATGGCCACCCATTCCCTTAACCCAGTGAGCTGAACTCAGTTCGAGTTGCTAGAGCGGCGCTTGTTGATTATGTGCTTGGTGAATGCAGCGTTGCGATGGTCCGGGTTGATCACACCGCCAACATACCTGACAGACCGGGCGCTCTTGAAATGTCGATCGTCCTCGCAGGTTCCCTGCAGCATTATTCAGCCTGCCCGTCCCCACTTGCAACTCCTACAACAGTCTGTTGCCTTGCTTGCATGCTTGATGCAATCTGAAAAGCCCTCTGCAAGTGAGCCCGAGCTGGGAAGTTTTCCAAAATCTTGGCTGAGCGTCCTTTCCGCACTGACCAATGCACCCATGGCCCAGTCGAAAAGCAACTCCTGTCAAAGGCATGCCAGCGAACACCTAACATCAACCCTCAACTCCATGCGTCGGCCTCATCTGCCCAGGCGTCCGTCAGAGTGCCCGGGTTCTCCATGAAGTGTGCCCAGAATGCCATCTCAGTGCTCCGGTCGGAGGGATCTGCAAAACCATCATGTAGGCCCCAAAAGATCTTCGCCTAGATTACTAGAATGATCTAGAATGCCGATTCGCCGAAACCCTCATTTATGTGAAACTTTCTCCTGGAAAGAGGGGGCCATGCTGCCAGAGCCACGGCATAGCTCTTCACGGTACTGTCATCCTTGAAGATCTCCTTCGGATGCATGCACCGACAGCGGCGCTGCGGCGCTGAGATTTGGGCCGGGCGGAACCTATAACAAAAGCCGCGGGCTTCTACAACGATCGAGACGCCCAGGCCCTGGTTTGGCTTGTTGGGAGCACCAGGCCATGACATCTTGCCCGCAGCATGAAAACACGAAGCAACAGGAAGCTTCGCTAGGTGGTGGGGGCCACCGGCCAGGACCCCGCAGTTGGGAGGACAGGGCTCCAACCGCGTCTCCTGGAACTTGCCAGCATCCAAGCCGACAACGTCACACCTTGGGCTGAAAGTGGGTACGTCGCTGTCTTGGAGAATGCCAATCGAAACACATCCGCGACTTCGCTGCAAAAGGCCAGCATGTGATTTCCTCTTCCAGCACAGACAGCAATGCTGTCGGCAGATTTGAGTCGGACATGGTTGTGGGCCGGGTGGCTCCTCGAGCCCAGTATTGGCGTGGCCATTGTGGGACCAGAATATCCAGAGAGCCGCCTCGGAGATCCACTTGCCTGGAAATTGCAATACATGTGTTGGTGCGCGTAGACATGCGTACATACACATACACATACAGATACACATATACATATACATATACATAAACATATACATATACATAAACATATACATATACATATACATATACATATACATATACATCTACATATACATATACATATACATATACATATACATATACATATACATATACATATACATATACATGTACATATACATATACATATACATATACATATACATGTACATATACATATACATATACATATACATATACGTATACATATACATATACATACACATATACATATACATATACATATCGGTATACATATAGGTATACATGTATAAATATTCATAGACGTAGACGTCGACGTATACACATGCATATACCCGTATGTACACGTGTACATACATGTGTGTGTATGTGCATAGATATACATATAAACATATACACATATACACATATACACATATACACATAAACATATATACACATAAACATATATACATATAAACATATATACATATATACATATATACCTCTATACCTATATACATATATACATATATACATATATACATATATACATATATACATATATACATATATACATATATACATATAGACATATATACATATATACATATATACATATATACATATATACATATACACATATATACATATATACATATATACATATATACCTATATACATATACACATATATACATATATACATCTTTCTTTCATACGCTGCAGAAGAGATCCGCTTGGCGAGGCTGTTATGACAGGGAGCCACCCCGGCTGCTGTGAGCCATGTGCCATTACACGTCGGCGAAAACGTGCTAAGCAGTCAGAGCAGTGGCGTAGGACCTGCCACGAATATACATACATATATACATATATACATATATACATATATACATATATACATATATACATATATACATATATACATATATACATATATATACATATATACATATATACATTTATACATATATACATATATACATATATACATTTGTACATATATACATATATACATATATACATGTATACTTATATACATATCCGCCGAGGCCAAAGGCCTCTGGCGTCTTGATGGTTAATACTAACCAACCAACCCTCTACCTAATCCTTCTCCCTGCAGCCCAAACGCAAACTTCCACCCGTTTTTAGCGACTGTTTTCGACCCCCTTGCCCGGCTTCCGTCCTTTTTTGCTGCCGAATTTGCCTCCCCCCCTCCTGCTCCCCCCTCCCGGGCCCCTCCCTACCCCCGCCCTTCCCGTCCCCTCCCTCTCTCTTCTCCCCCTCCGGCCCGTCCTCCCCTCTGCCCTCCTCGCTCGTTTTCCTTTTTTGGTTCCCCACCCTTCCGTCTTGTCCTGCCCTCGCGTGTTTTTTCGATTGCCTGCTCGTTTTCTTTCACCTTTTCTTCTCTCTTCGGCCTGCCCCCGGCTCCACTGTCTTTTCTTCTTATGTTTCGTTTGCGTGCTTCTTTCCTACTTCCTCGTTGAAGCTCTCGTTTTGCTGTTTTGTTCCGGCCCTTTTCCCACCCTTCCGTCTTGTCTGCACTTTTTTGGCTTGTTTTCCTTCCTTCCCCCCTCCCCCTCTTGCTGGCCCCCCCTTCCTCCTCCGGCCGGCCAGTCCACCCTTCCGTGTTGTCCTGCCCTCGCGTGTTTTTTCGACCTTTTCTCCTCTTTCGGCCTGCCCCCCACCGAGCCGGCTCCACTGCCTTTTCTTCTTATGTTTCGTTCGCGTGCTTTGGCTTTTTCGGCCTGCCCCCCCCCGGGCCGGCTCCACTGTTTTTTCTTCTTATGTTTCGTTCGCGTGCTTTGGCTCTCCTGCTTCCTCGTTGAAGCTTCCCCCCCCCCCCGACCCTCCCTCCCTTCCCCGGCCCCCCTCCCCCCGGGCCTTCCCCCGGCCCCTTTTCCCACCCTTCCGTCTTGTCCTGCCCTCGCGTGTTTTTTCCATTGCGACTTTTTCGTGCACTTCTTTTTGGCTTGTTTTCTTCCCCCCCCCCTCCCCCCCACCCTTCCACCTCCGGCCCCCCCTTCCTCCTCCGGCTTCCCCTTGTTTTTTGTCTTCTGCCTGCTCGTTTTCTTTCACCTTTTCTTTTCTTTCGGCCTGCCCCCGGCTCCACTGTGGGTTTTGCTGCATGTGTTTGCTCTACACTTGCCACACTTCTCCAAGTAGCCCTGACCCTGCAACTAAATTACACCTGCTTTAAGAGGCCCTTCGCAGTTTGGCCCC